TTACCTGTTTTTTAATTGGATTGTTTGCCTTCCTTTTGTTGAGCTGTATGAGTTCTTTGTATACTTTGGAAATTAACCCCTTATCAGATGTATCATTGGCAAATATGTTCTCCCTTACCGTGGGCTCCCTTTGCGTTTTGAGGATGCTTTCTTTTGCTGTGCAGAAGCTATTGAGTTTGATGTAGTCCCACTTGTTTATTTTTCCCCTCTCCCCACTTTCAGCGCACCCCTCCCTGCTGCCAGGCCCACCCTTCCCCACTGGCCTGAAGAGCAAACTGTAGGTTGCCCTGTGACTGCTTGAAATTTGTTTTCTGAGGTTGTCCATTTCCTACAAAAGCCCCTGGTTCAGGAGGCTGGAGGCTCATGCTCTTACTTCTTCCTGCTTCCGGAGTGGGTGTTACTGTAGGCCTTCCCAGCTGCACGCAGGGAGCACCTCGCTAGGCCCCCCTTCTGCATCAGCGAGTGAGGGGAAGCCTGAAGGAATGGGGCATGTTTACGGAATAAGTAGCAACCGAAGGCGCTCTGCCTGTGCCGGGGCCGGTGGTTCTGCGGAGGGAGAATGCTCTGGGTGTGCTTGTAGAAGTCCCACTGTTTCCACCGGGGACTCTTCCTGGTCCCAACTCATCATTTTGGCCCGTTTCACTCTCTTCCTGCTGACCTGATGCCTGACTGAGGCCAGGCTGTTGGGTGACCCGCCGTCCTGGATGTTCTTAGTGTCCGTCATGGAGTGTCACCTACCAGTGCCTGCCTGGGACAGTTACCTGTTCCTGTGTGAGTGGCTTGTCATTCCAACCAGATTTCAAGCTGGGACTCAGGGATCCTATCGCATGATTCTTTTGTAATTTCCCACAAAGATAAACAACACCTTTTAATCATTCAAAAATATTCAACGAGCCCCTACTAAGTGCCAGCCACGGTGCTAGGCCTTCCAGAGCACACGTGCTAGTGGGGAGACATGTTAATATAGTATGTTCATAACACACAACACTTCATTTCACTGGAGAAGGCCTGGGTGGTGAGAGCCTGTCGGCCAGGCTGTGCACACAGAGCAGAAATTGTGAGCCATTTGTGGAGGGAGTGAGGTTTGACATGTGTGGCCTGGAGGTGTGCTGGGACATGGGGGCCTACACCGGGCTGAGCAGAAATCATGTTGTGGATTGAAGACGAATTGATTGTTCATGAACATTTCTTTGGACCCTGAGTCTCTTCCTGTAGCACCTGCTGCGTACGGGAGAAACGCGGCGGCCTCTCGTGCTGGAGCCTGAGGGTGGGAGGAAGACGCGTGCGCCTGCGCCTGGCTCTGCTCCGCTGGGACTGGCTGTGCCTGCCTCCTTCAGAGCCCTTCCTGTCTTGTCCGGTGAATGGTCTTTCTCTCACATATCCGCTGCCTGCTCGCTTTGTCTGAGGGGGTTTCTTGTGTTTTCCCAGTTGCAAGCTGTTGACAGTCTTGCAAATGCTCGCTGAGCCTCCCCTCCTGAACGGAGCAGTAGCCCTGCCCGGTGGCCAGACTCCGAGATGCTGGTCCCCAGAGAAGGCCGCACAGTCTGCCAGCCACTCCACCTCGAGGAGCACCCAACCGAGAAATTACCTCCTTTCAGGCTTCTGACATCTCAACTCCGATAAGGATCTTATTTTCTATTATTAAGGAATTACAGAAGGAAACAACATCTGCAGGGTTCTTGATTTGCGGCTCTTTCCAGCGTCAGGGAGCCTTCTAAAGCAGCGGGTCAGGGTGGAGGGCCCGGCACACAGCAGGTGGGCCCTCTGCTGGTGACCACGGGTGGTGCAGCCTCGGGCCTGCGCCTGCGCCTGGGCCAGCGCAGCAGGCACGCTGTTGTCCCTCCTCACCGGAGGAAGTGGAGGCAGCTCTGCGTGCCCACATCGAGGGAAGGAAGAAAACAAAACGAGTTCACAGCTGCCAGCTCTTCCTCTCGCTGTGAGGCATCACTATTTTAAGGGTCAGGTTGAATATAGAAACCTATGAATGTTAAAATAGACACAAAAGATTATACTTCTGGTACTTTGGATTCTAAATTAGTTGACTGTCTTGCTCACTTGGTATGTTTCAAAGTGTCCTTTCGAGGACATAAGAATGCCCAGGGCAGCGAATATTGTATTTCTCTCCCTGTGTTTACCTGCAGCACCCCTGAGCGTTTGTGAGATTTGTTCTGCGTGGAACAGACCCAGACAGACGCGTAGTGTGTGCACCTTGCCTAGTGAAACGAGCTTTGTCCGTTTGGGCTCCAAGCAGCCCGGGAGAGCAGCGCCCCAGCCCCAGGCTTGTGCAGCCGAGCTGCAACCCAGCTAAAGCTGTGTGGGCGCTAATGAAGTGACACCCGCCGCCCGGAGGAGGGTGTGATGGAGGCTGACACCATTTTTATTCCACTCTGTGCACTTTGCACGCCAGATGGTGGGGTATTGATTTTCCTTCTTCTCTGGGATGTCTTTGGGTAACTGCAATCGGGAGCCAAGCTTTGTTCCAAGGTAGAGAGTAGAGCGCCCCTCAAACTAGTCTGTAAAAGGAGTGAAAGTGACGTCTGCGAGGCGGCTGAGTGCGCTCTGGGTGGCTGTGCCCGCACCTGGCAGCGCTTCTCGGAGACACAGTGTGAGAGGAGTCGCTTCCTGTGAGACGCTTTGCTGGACGTGAAAACCTGTTGTCACTGAGGGTCCGAATGGAAATGTACCTATGGTCTGAAGCTTCTCGGTCAACAACCGAATGTAATAAAAGTGTGATCACATTAAATGTGCACCATGTGCACCATGTGCACAGGGAGGGCGCCGAGGCCTGTCCTCAGACCCCTTGAACAAGCTCTTATCCCTGCCTCTGGCTTCCCATCTCAGAGCTGCTGCCCTCTGGGGACCCTCTGTTCCCCAACTTATGATGGGCGAGTCCTTGTCCTAAGACCTCAGCCCAAGGGCCACTTTCTCCCAGAGGCCCCCAACCAGCACACTGCATTTCTCGTTGTTGGATGTGGTCCCCCCCCCAACCCCGTGCTGCCGACACGGTAATGACGTGTGGCTTGTTTACTGTTGTGCTGTTCACCGCCGTGCCCACCAAGCACACCTGGGCTCCACAGGGCACGAGCTTCGCCCACGCCCCTGGCCCTGTCCGAAGCAGGAGAGCTCAACAAACACTTGTTTAGCGATGAGTTGGTGGGTGAGTAAATCTTTGTGTGCTGATGAGGTGAGGGGTGAGTGAGTATTGTTCTCAATGAGTTAATGAAGGGAGGAAGATAACCAAAGACCAAGCCAGTAATCTGGCAGAGGAACAGGCAGATTTCAGAAAGTAGCATAAAAGGAGAAAGCGTTGGAAACTATGAGATGAATCTAATTGAAACTGTGGACTGAGCCATGAGGCCCAACCTTATCTAGGAGGAGTCCCAGAGGACAACCGCACAGAAATGCAGAGAAGAAATGTACAGGAAACCCAGGCGCGGGACGGGGCGGCACTGTTCTAAGAGCAGCGAGTGTCTTGAAGGAGAAACAAAGGAAACCAACCCCTGGCCAGGGAAGAAATATTCTGGTGAACATTAGCACCCAAAGCCTGCCCAGGAGGGCCGGAGCAGCTCAGGTCAGCTGACTTCCGAGGCCGGAGCAAGGTGGCCTTCCCCCTTCCCAACAGCAGGGGGATGGAGCTCTCAGCTGGTTGAGGGGAATGGTTATGCGTCTCTGTGTAGCCAAACTGACACTCACATACGGGGATTAGGACTTCGGCCCCTGGCCACGCTGGAAGAGTGGGACCTGGATCCCCTTCCCCACCACGGACAGCTGTGTGAGTGGACCGTTTCAGAACTTGTGACCCCCAAATAAGGGAAGCAGATGAGGTGAACCGCAGCGTCCAGCTTCTGTCCTGGAGGTGTGTTGGTGACAGGGCAGAAAGGTGACCCAGGCAGAGCTCGGAGGTGGGTGAGGAGGCTGGTAGTTAGGGGTCCGAGGCCACTGGGATCATTGTAGAGAGGAGGGGACACAATGCCCCACAGGCCAGGGTGACTGCTCAGGTGAAGCACCACAGGCCAGGAAGGCATGAGGCTGTGGGGTGAGGGGCCCCTGTGGAGCTGGGGCTTACTTGAATCCCCATCAGCCCAGTGGAGAGCCCTGTTATCCCTCGGGACACTCAGCTCGGTCCAGGAGGGCCAAACCTGTGCAGTGGGGCCGAGATAACCTTAGACTGCAGCTGCTGGCCCCTTCCGGGCAGTTCCAAAGAGAAATTGCCATGATCAGCCCGAAGCAAGAGACTCTTAACCACCGACCAGCACAGGCTGGGCAGCTGTGTCCTGTACAGATGACAACAGAATCAGACGCCGGCAACATCCAGCATCCGCTCTGCTCTGACACGTCAGAAGCAGGAGCAGGGACTGCCACCAGGGAAGGAGCAGTCACCAGCAGCAGACCCGTCATGACAGACGGGATGGCATTAGTAACCAGGATGCTCAGGGAGCGAGTGTGACTAACTGTGTTCCAGAATTTAAGTAAAATCATGAGCTGGGACAGTTGGCCGCAGACCTGCAGGTGGGATCAGGCGTGAGTGCAGCTAGAGGCTGGGGAGCCTTGTGGTGACAAGGCGATGTGGCAGGGGGTTAGCGCAGGCGGTAGCCGTGGGCCCCTCCAGTTGCCAGGGCCTCCGCTTCCCCACCTCTAACTCGATGTAACAACAGTGCAGCTTCGTAAGATTACTGGAGAGGTCGATGCGCGAGTCGTGTATAGCTCTTGAACAGCACCCCGTGCCTAGGATGGGACGGCAGGGACATTGCTCATGGGAATTCGCCGGAAGTGCCGAGGCTCCTTTGCCCTGAGTGCAGCGCGCATGCTCTCCCACCCCCAAATGTGTTCTGGTTGCTGATCAGGGTGCCCATCGTGTTTATTTGGATGGGAGCTTCTGGGCAGTCGGCTCTTGGTCTTGAGCTGCTGAGACAGCTGCTCTCTGGGACCCCGGAGAGGCCTTGAGCGGCAGCCTGTGGGCCCTTGTCTCCCGCTCCTGATCACCCCCCTTCTCTCCTCAGCATCCTCGAGTGCCAAGGCCTCCCCATCGTGAATGGGCAGTGCGACCCTTACGCCACTGTGACACTAGCAGGACCATACAGGCAAGTAGCTGACACCGCACCTGCCCACGGCCTCCTGCCTGCAGGGTGGTGGCAGTCACCAGGAATGATAGTGAGAACCCCTCAATCAGAACAAGGCAGGATGTGCCCGAGGGGGAATGTGTAATCTTGACTTCCTTTTGTTTCCTTTATTGCCCTAAAGTTGTTTTGTAAAAATAGGAAGACTTGATGTTCTTCATGCTGAGTATTTTTGGCTCAGTAAAGGTCCCCAATTTGCATACCATCTGGGGTTGGAGACAAACAGAAATATTTATAAGATAAATAAAGGCAGCAAATTACTTGTGCATTTGATAGCTCAGTCTTCAGGCTGAGAAATTTGGCATCAGAAGTGTGATTTTTGATCCCGGTCCTTCCTCTTTGATTACAGATCGGAAGCGAAGAAGACGAAAGTGAAAAAGAAGACCAACAACCCTCAGTTTGACGAAGTGTTTTATTTTGAGGTTGGTATTTCAGTGGTTTCAGTGTTGCGTTGAAACCTTACACCCAAGATTCATTGGCAAAACGTGTAGCCCGGAGGATGTCAGTCCCTCGCTTCCTTCTGAACGTTCTCTGGGTGGTGGGCCCACACCGAAGGCTCCCCTCTGCCCCGCGCCCGGCGGGCTGACCTTGCCTCCCCTCCTGGGAAAGAACCGCCGTCTCTGCTTCCACAATGACTCAGTTTTGAGTTGAATACTGACCAAGTCATACTTTCCAAATTATCAAGTCTTTGGTTTTTTTAATTGTTTGGTGTGGGGTTTTTTGTTTTCTGGCCTGTTCCACCCAGTCTCCCCCGAGCAGTGAGGTGAGACTTGCTTGTTTCACCAGAAACAGTCAGGGTTTGAAGCCAGGAGGAAGTGCCCTCTGACAGAGACCCCGGCCGCCTCGTCGGACGTGAGCCACCGAAGTCAGTAAGGGGGAGGGTGTGAGCTGAGGACCACAAGAGAACACGTGAACACGCTGGCTAGCTATAAGGCAGCCCACACGGACTGTGTTTAGGCAGGTGTTCTTTCTGTCCACGAAGGCCTCTTGAGTGTGCACCAGGCCTTGGGTGGGTGAGGATGACTGAGGCCTTCGCCCTGTCTGCATGAGCCTGCCTGCTGCCTGGCAGAAGAGAGCTGTGAGTGATGGTCCTGCGTGGTCCAGTGACTGTCAAGTCGGTGGCTTTAGGGAACAGAGAGCAGGTGCAGCCAGCAGCCCTTCCGGGAAGTGGGCCCCGGCTCCCCGGGGTGCTCCCATCGGAGCAGTCTGGGAAGGGGGTCTGCACATGCGTGGGGCCTCAGGGGGTGCAGGAGACTCTGCCCTGGCTGGTTTGGCTCAGCAGTTAGAGCATTGGCCTGAGGACCAAAGAGTCGCGGGTTCAATTCTGGTCAAGGGCACGTACCTCGGTTGTGGTTCTTTCCCCGGCCCTGGTTGGGGTCCTGCAGGAGGCAACCAATCGGTGTGTCTCTCTCATATCGATGTTTCTGTCTCTCCCTCCCTTCCACTCTGAATATCAATGGAAAGATATCCTCTGGTGAGGACTGAAAAAAAAAATGTGCACAAATGTGCGTTCAAGGTAGCAACGGACTTCCATGTCTAGGCCACCGAGAATGGCTTACACCAGCACTTCCCAAAGGCACAGGCTTTGCCTGGTGGCACCTGTCACTCAAATAGCTGTATCCTCTCTCGCTTGGCTCTCACTCACACGAGGAGTGTGGCTCTCAGTTCACTAGATCAATTTAACGACCCCCAGATATGATTGAGCGCAGGAGACAGGACCGAGGCCTGCAGGGTCTCAGGGAAGGCCCAGACCTGGGTCTCAGCTGCTGGTTAGGGCCGTCTGACGCCAGCTTCGCTCGTGGCCTCAGACCAGAGGACCTCTGGAATATGCTTTTGTTTGGAGCTTAGGTCCTTTGACTGACTTTCATTCACTCTGTAGATGTTAGGGGACAGGCAGGAATAAGAAAGAAAGAACAGACCAGCCTTTGTGGCCATCCCACTGGAAGCCAGACACCTGATCAGAGTACTGTGAGCCATACCAGGCAGGGGGCTCCAGAAGGCTTCCTGGAGGAGGTGGCATTTCAGAGCACAGGGCAGAGTGAGGAGTGGACTCAGTAGTGAGCAGGGCAGAGGGCACAGGTTGTAGAAAGATCCCCATGTGCTGGGTGAGGAAGACAAGTGGGGACCCTGGGAGGCCTTCAGAAGTTTTAGCCAAAGGCAGTTGTGTCCAGGGCCACTGGGCTGTGGCTGGTGGGAGCCATGCTTGGGCTGTAGAAGGACAGGCTGCCGACATTGTGGAGGCAACAGGTGGGAAAGCTGGGGAGGAGCAGATGGAGCCACAGGGGGCGGAAGTGAGAAGGGGGAGGTGGTCAGTAGGGGAGACATCTGGAGGAGGGAGGAACTGGCAGGGTGCTCTTGGTGCTGGGAGGACTCCATGGAAGTTAGGGCAAAGTTCTCGGCACAGCCCCGCCCCGGCTCCCAGGGAACTGGGGCTCCAGTCCCCGCTGCCTGTTCGCGGTGAGTAGAGCAGTGTCCGTGTGAGTGGGGAGCACAGCCCCTCCCCTGAGCTGGTCAGCCCGGGACAGGCGCCCGGTCTAACTCGCTCTCCCTCCGTCTGCACCACCAGGTGACCAGACCCTGCAGCTACAGCCGCAAGTCCCACTTCGACTTTGAGGAGGAGGACGTGGACAAACTTGAAATCCGGTGAGCGAGAATCAGGGTTTCGAGATGCCTGCTTGGCAGCCGCAGTCTGAACTCACCTCTTCTGTTTGTTGTTTTGTTTCTAAAAATAGGGGAATGGATAGGAAATCATTTTAACGTTCTTGGTGATTTTAACACGAGGATGTCGGAAGTTGAAGTCAGTCATCATCCCAGATATTTGGTGGTTGTGGCTGAAAGGACACTTACTTTCCCAAGGGGCAGACTCAGTTTTATAGTTCACTTTGCAGTGTCTTCTAAGTGTCCAAGGTCTAAGGCTTTGTGCTACTTGGAACATGCAAGGCTGTCTGCCAGGTGGCACCGCCCAGCCTAGCACAGCGGTGCCCTGCTTAGGGATGCTCACGGCCAGCCCTTAGTGCGCAGTCTGCACCTGTCACCCCAGAAGGTCGCAGTCGAGTTCGCTGGGATCTACTGGGGGCCTTCTTCCCACCTGCTCTGGCTGTGGAGCCCTGTCCACCTGCAGCACCTGCCCTGGGTGCAAGGTGACCTGGGAGAGACGAAGCCTAAGTCAGGTGTACTTCCCTCGCCCTGGGCTAGGTGACCGCATTCAGGTCTGCCTACCCTGTGCGGGAGAAGCATAGGGATGCTCCCGATTTCACCTTTGAAATCGACTTTTCCTTAGGGCCAGGGTTTTCTGAGGCATGTGGATTGGACTGGAAATACCACAGGCGTTCCTTTGAGGGGCACTCTGGTGTCCCTCCCTCCGAGCAGTGCCCACGCCTGGGGGCTCTAGGCCAGGGGAGGGCCGACCTTCTGGGCACAGGGTGCGGCCAGGGCTCTTTCTTCTCCCAAGTGCGGGACCCGGGGCTCTCTCCTCGCCCCTCTCCTGGGTTCGAGCCCTGAGGGGCAGTGGGCTCCACACACAGACCTTGGTTTGAGCTTAGTTTTAAGTGTTTCCAAGTAGTTTCAATCTTCCATTTCGAAATACGGACGCAGAAGCACAGCGACTTCTAGTCACGGTCCCCAGGAGGCCCGCAGGCCGCGGTCGGGGTTTGGCTGCGCACCGCCTGCTCCAGACACGCCACCCCTTCCTTGTTCAGAGAAGCCGTGTTTATGAAACACGGGCTTTGAACTCGAGTGGAGTCCTAGTTCTCTTTCTAAGCATATCAACCAAGAATGTTTTTAAATGTTTCTCTGATTAAAAAGAAAAGACCGCCTGGCGCTGGTTTGTATTTTGCTGAAGTGTTGTTTGGCAGATTCAAGCTGCTTCTGCCTGTTACTCTGAGCGTCATGCCACGAGACGGCTTACCTGCATGTCCTGATGCCTGTGGGTTCCTGTGGGACATCCTTTGCCCTCTGTGACGTCCGCTGCTCCTGCTCCTGCTTAGGGTGACAGGAGGGCCGCTGCAGTCGTCCAGCAGTGTCCTGTGGTCTTACACTCCAGTTCACAGCATGACTGCTGCTTAAGTTGTCTGTGGACATACGCAGCGTTTGCTAGTTAGCACCAGGGAACGTCATCCACCTCCAACTGCCACGCATGGGCAGTCTCCGTGTCCCCAAGTCGGAGGGAACGGAGAGAATTCCACCCGAGGAAAAAGGGTTCACGAGTGACAGACTCCTCAGCCAAGTGAGTGTGGACCCCCACGAAGGTGGCGGCGAACTGGCTGTGCTTGGTGCCGGCGCCTCCTCCCCTTCTCTGCTGGGCCCTGGGCCTGGGCCGTGGGTCACATTGGTAGGTCGCAGGGTTCTGTGTGCAGGTGGAGAAGGAGGGCTCGGAGACAGTTTTTCTTTCCAGGTGTACTTTCATGTGATGGGAGGCAGGAGACACCTGGCCGTTAAATCGGGCAGCCTGGCCAGTCCCCTGTGGGCACCGTTCCCTGTGACGGCCCGAGCAGAACTAGACTTCATGTCTTCAGTCCGCTCTGCAGCGAGCCCTGCAGACCGAGGTCCCTCTGCTGGGTGCTCCTGCTGTCTGAGGCGCTGCCCAGCCTGGCGGGGCAGCAGGTCCTGCTATGCGTGGGTCTCTCCCAGGTGAAGGGCACAGCAGTTCCCTCCTGGTCCAGAGACAGGAGGCCCTCGCCCGACACCCGCCCAGGGGCCCTGCCTCTGCCTCCTCTCGCTCCCCGCCCGGGGAAGTGCACGTCTTCAGGCCAGCGCCAGGCCTGTCTGACCTCACGTCTCCGTGTCCTCAGGCGGTGTGGGTCTCCACGGAGACCGACTGAAGGCTCCAGCCTCTCGGGGAGAAGGAAGGAACGCCGCTGGCAGCCCGGCGCCTCCCGGGCCGTCTTTAAGCTCCGTGTGCCCATTGTTGTTTTTCAGAGTTGACCTCTGGAACGCCAGTAACTTGAAATTTGGAGATGAGTTTCTGGGAGAACTAAGGATTCCGCTGAAAGTGCTTCGGCAGTCGAGCTCCTACGAGGCGTGGTAAGGTGGCCGCGTGCCCGGCCTGCCATCAGCGAGCTGGTGGGGGGAGGGACAGAGTTCACAAGTCAGAAGGACACAAAGCTGCACCTTCACAGCCCAACATAACGGCACAGGTCAGCTTCCTGTCTAGCCACCTGCTCTTGCTGCGCTCTGGCGCGGGGACAGGTTCGGGTGAGAAACTGCAGGTGATCCTGCTGACATCACAAGTGGTGGCTGAGAGCCTGGAACAGAAGGGCGGGGGCAGGAAGCCTCACCGCCCGAGAGTAGCCCTGAGAAGGCAGCTGGCCCTCCTCGGAGCACGGAGCACGGTGGCCCCGGCCCTGCCCTTGGAGGCAGTCGTGACCTCTGCCTGCCGTCAGAAGTGCCCTGAGGAGGACGTGACCTCGGAGCCGGGTGTCAGATCTGCCTGTCAGTCGGCTCCGCTCACCCCTCCTCACCCCCGTGGCCCAGAAGACTGAGGTTTCCCTTTCCGTGTCTTTGTTTCCCATTCTCTCTGGGCTGCCTTGTATTTTGGCACAAGGAATGTGCCTTTATTTTATTTCGTGTTCAGTTCCTGTATCTCCTCGTGGTGAAGCCGCAGACACTCTGGCCATGGCGCTCTCGCTTCACGCATCTTTCTTTACGGACACACAAGATGGGGAGGAGGGGCAGGTCACACCACACGTCACGCACGCCACACAGCTCGTGCCACGTCACACAGCGTGCCTTGCACTGCCCTCCGTGGCTTCATGTCCACAGCTGCCGTGTAGTGGACTTTGTGTTGGCCCCGTGGCAGTTTCTGTCACCAGGAGACCTCAGAACTCCTGTCTCGAATTCCACGAGGATGGCACCAGCCCGCCCCCAGCTGGGCCTGGCTGCTGGCGGGAGGCATTGCTTTGCTGAGCGTCCCCTGGCCTTGTCACCAAGGATGTGGCCTTTGCCTGGCAGCCCGTGGACCTCTGCCCACATCGCATCTCTCACTGCATGGCTAGTGCACCAGGCGGGCCCAGGGAAGAGGAGCCCGTCAGAAACACTGCTGAGGCGCTGTGTGCGCCGAGGTCTGCAGCCCAGCACGAGCTCCCAGCCCCGTGGTGCTCACAGCTCTGCCACACATTTCTTAGGACCTTTCGATTTGCTCTGCTGACTGCTGGCCGTTGTCGAGTGTTAATCTTCACAGATCATTATTTTACTGCATAATTTCCCTCAACAACTGCATTCACTTCCCCACCTTCTCGTTCTCTCCTTTCCTTCCACCCTTCCCGCTTCCCCGTCATAACTTCTGCCTGCAGCTCTGCAATGAGCCCTGAGATAAGCACCCATGGGGAGTGCCCCGGGTGCAGGGGGCGTCCTACAGAATTGCCCTGGAGCCCCTCCTGCCTCGGACCCTGACACAGGACCCCCTTGACGGGAGGACCGGCCCCTGGGAGGTGCTGCCACCTCACGCCCATTGTCCTGTGCCCTGTGCCCAGGTACTTCCTGCAGCCCCGAGACAACGGCAGTAAGGTTCTGAAGCCAGGGGACCTGGGGTCCCTGCGGCTGAATGTGGTTTACACGGAAGACCACGTCTTCTCCTCCGACTACTACAGCCCGCTCCGGGAACTTCTGCTAAAGTCTGCGGATGTGGAGGTACTCCTGTGCCTGCTGGACCTGTGACCCTCGACCCGCCCTGTCCCCTGCCTCCTGCCAGGCCACGGCCTGCCTCTCCTGTACCCAGACCCGCTCCCCCTCTGGACCCTCCCTGCCCCCTGCCCAGCTCTGTCTCCCCTACCTGCCCATACCATCCCCTTTCCACCCCCTTGGTGCACCATTCGCCCCAACACCTGCCAGCACCCCCATGCCCGGCTCCTGGGCTGCCTGCTCCCTGTCGGTCACTTCTCCTCAGCCGGGCCCCTCTGGGCCTGTTTTGTGCCCGGGAACATCTGAATCTCCCTTTGCTAAGTTGAGGGGTGCTGTGGGGTGGGTGTGGAAGCGGCCCTTGGGTCACACCGTGCCTCTGCGCAGCCTGTCTCGGCGTCCACGGCGCACATCCTGGGCGAGGTTTGCAGAGAGAAGCAGGAGGCGGCCATCCCGCTGGTGCGGCTCTTCCTGCACTGTGGCCGGGTGGTGCCCTTCATCAGCGCCATCGCCAACGCCGAGGTCCGGAGGACTCAGTGAGTGTTCTGCGGCCTCTGCCGGGCCGACATTTCCCCGCGGGGCCTGAGGAAGGTGGGGGGACCCGGACAGCAGAAGTCTCCCTCAGAACACATCTGAGCACAGGGACAGCAGATGAAGGAGACCTCATGGGCTCAGGTTTCTTTCAGAGAGACCGCACTGTTTTTAAAAACGCACCTTTCCTCCCGGAAACCTCGGGATGCGTGTGCAAGAAGGGGCGATGCGGCACCAGCTGCCTTAGGACAGGCCTGGTTCAGTGTTGAGCCCACATAAGAGGACTGGGTCTCTGTCCGCCAGAACCTGCCCCTGCTCCGTGGAGGGGGGTTCTGCGCTCCCTGCTCCCTGGATTCAGAAGCATCCAGACACTCCCTGTTGAAAGAGGTTATAAAAAGTGCAGCCTCTTCTGTTCGCTTTCTGCCCGACCTCCTGTGCTGACCCCAGGCTTGGTCCTTAGAGGCATCCGCTGGCTTGTGTAAGACAAGGCTGCAGAGGGGGAGGCACCGTGAGCTCCCGTTCCTCCAATGGCTGATGGCAGGGCCCTGTGGCTGTTTGCTGATGGCACTGGCCGCGGTTTGTACAGTGGGCGTTACACAGGCAGGGCTGGGGGCCCAGGACCGCTGCTGTCAAACATCTGGCCTGGTCTCATGCTCCAGAAACACCTGCTGACAGACTCAGGGCGGGTGCGTCGCATCTGACGGACGAGCTCTCAAGAACAGACTCTGCTTCTTTCTCCACCTCACTGTACCGAGGAGACAGAAGTAACTGGGTGCTGTTTTCCAGGGACCCCAACACCATTTTCCGGGGAAACTCGTTGACGTCCAAGTGCATCGACGAGACGATGAAGCTGGCCGGGATGCACTACCTGCACGTCACCCTGAAGCCCACCATAGAGGAGGTGGGTCGGGTCCCTGGGGCCGTGTCACTGGGCTGCGGACCACATTTCCGCACGAAAGACGGGCAGTCGGGGAGTGCTGTGCCCGGACTCCCCCAATGAAGAGCTGTCACTTTAATTTCAGAATCTTCCTTATTTCCTCAAATTAAAAAAATACTTAAGAAAATCCATTATTCTAAACACAGGAGGACTTGCAAGAGAAAAACTGGTTCTCCAGTGGACACCGCTTTCCCGCAGGTGTTGGTGGTCCCCGAATTCGCGGGGCCTGGAGTTTTGTCAGGGCCCCTGCGGTCTCACTGTTGTCGGGCACGTTCAGAGGAACGTCCTTTCCGAATGACAGCGTTTCTTACCTGACCCCCAGTGGGGCACCTGGGCAGGCAGCGGTTCCCCCAGAACAGTTTCATAAACATCAGGCCCTGTGCAATGTGAGAACATCTTACGTAGGTTTGGCCTGTGCGAAAGCCTGGCAGCACTACGGAACGAAATCGTCACGTGTATGACGCTGCCTCCCTGGGCGGCAATGCAGAGCCATCTTCAAGAAAGCCCAGGTCCTTGCAGGACTTGGCCTCACACATTGCCCGGTGTCTTCAGCCGCTGTCCCTGTCCTCCTGGCCGCGTGGGGCCAGATGTGGGCAGCTGTCTCCTGAACAAGGCTGTAATGTCCTCTGAGCCTGATTCCGCTCACCTCCACCCCACCCGCGCTCCCGGAACCTGCCTCACTCCCTGTCCTCCGTGCTCTTTCCAGATCTGCCAGAGCCACAAATCCTGCGAGATTGACCCGGTGAAGCTGAAAGATGGTGAGAACCTTGAAAACAACATGGTAAGGGGTTCTGGTTGTTCACCAACACTTCCCAGGGCCAGTCCCGTCTCTGGGACGTTTGGGACATGGCCACCCCGGAGGCTCTGTGTCGGGGGGGGGGGGGGGTCGTGCTTTTCGGAGCACCTATATGAGCCCAGGTGCAAAAGGTGGCTTCCCCTGGAGTCGGGACCGAGCCAGTCGGCGATGGGCCGCCATCTTTCTTTGCTCTCGACTTCTTCCCTGCCGACTAGCATTGCTCTGGCCTGTCACACGGAGCCCCTGTCCTTCCCTTCCTGGGGCAACCAGGACCTTTCCCGACCCCACGCCCCACACCAAGGCGGCCTCACCAGCCTGTCAGTCTTCGCAGCCCATCTCCCCCTCCTCTCTGCAAACAGGCCCCAAATCTGGCCCACCCCCGCTGTTCCCAGAGCTGTTTATTCACACAGCAAAACTCCCTAATTTTGCCGTTCACCCTAATGTTTTAGTCTTTTTAAATTTTTCATCCAGAACGTGCTGTGTCTTTGTTGTACCTTTAAAAAAAGAGACAAGGTTCTCGCCTTCGGGAACTTGCATTCCAGTGAATTTGATCTCTGTTGAGTTAATGAGGTGGGGCATGGAGGAGGGGACGCACTGAGTGAATCACTACAGCTACTCAGGACATACCTGAGAGGCTGTCTTCATCGCGTCTTTCGCTGCCCTCCCCCACGGCTGCTGGGGGGGCGGGGAGGGAGGCCAGTCCCGGCCTCTGGCCTGGCCCCTGCGGTGTGGCCGTGGTGCAGGCAGCCTGGGCAGAGAGCCGGGTCCCAGTGAGCGCTGTTGGGGTGCCCACCCACACCTCATTGCAGGAGAACCTGCGGCAGTACGTGGACCGCATCTTCAACGTCATCACCAAGTCGGGGGTGAGCTGCCCGACAGTCATGTGTGACATTTTCTTTTCTCTGCGAGAGGCGGCTGCCAAGCGCTTCCAGGGTGAGTCCCCTGCGGGTGCTCTCATGCCAGCAGAAAGCGTCTGCGGCCCCCCCTGGGTGGCTCCCTTCCTTGTGCCAGGTGCCCCAAAGCAGAGGAGGGATGTTACAGAACCGTAGAGCTGGTTCTGACGCAGTTGCTGGGCCAGGGCTCAGAGGTCGGCATGGCCCGAATGGCCTCCCTCCCGTCTGTGTCCTCTGGGCACTGCTCCCTGGTCCCTGTCTGCGCGCGTCCTGAGTGAGCGAGAGCTCTCGCAGACAGAGGCAGCTGGCTGTCTCCTCGCAGGGGTTGGTTTGGGACCGAGCGTTCACTCATTGTGTCTGGGCTTCTGCAGTCAGAGAAGCCCCTTCCAGGTCCTCCAGTGGGTTCTTACCGCAGCCCAGCGTGGCACCACTCGGTGCTCTGTGCTGTCCAACTCTGCCTTGCTGCGCTTTCAAGAAAGACAGGGTGAGCCCTTTGGGGGATTGGGACTGGAAAGGTCCCAGGGATGAGCCTCCTCTCTTAATTTCACGGAGAGAGGGAGAGACGGAGACAGAGAGGAGAGAGACTGTGGGGTCAAGGAGAGGAGACCCTCGGGAGGAGCAGAGGCTCTGGGTCCCAGCCCCCTGCCCAGGCCTCTGCTGCCGTCTGCGGAAAGCCCCGTTGAGCTGGCTCTGTCTGTGTCCTGGCTACAGACGACCTGGACGTGAGGTACACGGCGGTGAGCAGCTTCATTTTCCTGAGGTTCTTCGCTCCTGCCATCCTGTCCCCCAACCTCTTCCAGCTCACACCTCACCACACAGTAAGTGAGCACGAACCCTTGTGAACTGGGGAACCAGCCCCTACGCAGCCAGTCCTCCTGCACAGCAGGGGGCGCTGGGCGCAGGCCAGGCTCTCTTGGCCAGGTGTGTGGAGGTGGGAGAGACACCTGCCACGGCAGTGGGGTTGTGAACAGGCCACGCGCCCGTAACTCCGTTATCTACAAGAAGCTTCACGACGTTCCTAAGTTGTGTCAGTTAAGACATGGGTGGTGTGGCCAGGCTTTAACTGCAGACTGCTACTGCGTCCTCCCTCTTGCCGTGGGAAAAATGGAGAATTTATCATATTGTGTGTATTCAGTCATTTATTCACTCAGTCAAAAAATATTTATTGAGCACCCACTTGCGCGGGGCTCCGAGCTTTCACGGAGCTGACATTAGTGATGTACAGTCGTCCCTTGCCACTTCGCACTTCGACTTTCGCGGCTCCACTCTATTGTGGTTTTTTCAAATATATTCATTAAAAAGTTGATTGAGACAGTGAAAATGATACAGCGTGTGCTCGTTTGTCTGAGTCAATTATACACCCTGTATTACAATTACAGTTAAAATTACTGTGCGTATGGACTGTAGGCCTGTGGAGTCGAGCACCCCAGGAGTCCTTGAACGCCAGGTGCACCCGCTAGGGACTGGGACGGATTGACCGCGATAAACGAGGGCCGACTGTATCAGCAGAGAAAGCGCCAGGGGTGGGCAGTGCCTGGTGGAAAGCCCAGGGTGAGGGGCTTCGGGGTGATGGGCCCTTCCTATTTTCGTTGGTTTTAAATGAAACTTCCAGACCATGTGAAGGTGAGAGAGAGGACCTGGGAGATGCAGAACTAGGGACAGGAATGCCACCAAATTCAAGATGCTCCTTTGCGTGTCGGGGCCAGAGTGCAGATGGATACCCAGCAGCTCTTTTGCACGTTGCCGTTTGGGGAGCTGTCGGCGTGTGTGGAATGCCGGGGTCTGGGTCTGGGGTGGCCTGAGATCCTCCACTGGCAGCAGAGCAGAAGGGTCTCGGCGAACTTTTCCGAGTCCACTGTTTGCGTGCTTGCTGTGTGCTCCCAGACAGCATGCGTGTGCAGCCTGCGGACAATGTCATTCGTCTTGGCTGTGTGACTCTGGGCTCGACCGCATCATCTCTGTAAAACGGAAACGGACGGCATTTCTCTTTCCCGTTCGACAGGACCCCCAGACGTCGAGGACGCTGACGCTTATCTCAAAGACCATTCAAACTCTCGGCAGCCTATCCAAGTCAAAGTCTGTAAGCCACTTCTTTTAACCATCTTTTTTATTTTTAACACAGAAGAGTGTGTGTTTAATGCAATCATAAGGATAAAGAGCAGTAGAACTAGCCAGGCGTTCCCACCAACCAGCTTAGGGGCAGAACACCCCAGCGCGGGCCGAGCGCCTCTGCACCGCCGGGCTGTGAGACTGCCCCGTGAGGGGGCCAGGACGGCACGTGCTCCTGCCACTGCTGGTCGGCCGGAGATCACTCCTGTGGACGGGTGCAGAGGCCGCGGCCCCGCTGCAGCGAGCTGGCGGTGGCTCGGCCCTGAGTACGCGCGGACGTCTGTGTCTCAGGACGGTTCAGTCGCTGTCTGGTGACCAGAGGGCCTGTGCACACGAGGTCTACATGCCCCTTTCTGTCCCTGGGCTCTGTGCTCATTTTACCCCTTTTGGGGACAGATCTGTGTCTCCCCTTCATTGTCGCTCACTTCAGACTAGATTGGGGCCAGCCCCAGGCTCCAGGGCCCAAGAGTGGGCCTCGTGACCAGCAGTGTTCAGGGTGTCGGGCGCTGACGTGTGCAGACAGGGATGTAGGGAGCAAGGGCGTGCCCCCTGGGATGAGCGGAGGCTGGTTCCGACCATGGGCGGGCTGGCCCAGCTGGAGTGAAGCCGCCTCTTCTGTGTGGAAAGCGTTGAGCAGTGGCCTACGTAGCCCCCGCCCTCGCCGGCCTCCTCGTGTTCTTTGTGGGCCATGAGAGAACCGGGGTCCCACCACTGCAGGCAAGCGGCCCCCTTTGGGGCCACAGCTCGGCTCTCTCTGAACCATAGGAAAGTGAAAGGAGTACAGCCTGGCATGAGCACTTTCTTCTGTCAACCCAGTGTCCGTTGGCTGGGAATTCAGATACACAGGCCCTGCTGGGTCAGGGGTCGGCACAAAGCCCACCACCTTTTCACATCCGCAAGAAGAAATGTGACCTAAACATGAAAACGGTGCTAAGTGGGGCGGGGCCTCAGATGGCTTGGCTGGCCCTGCCTGACTTCCTGTGCTTTGCCACGACCCCTGTCCGTACCCCTCGGCTCACAGATGAGGGTCCGTCCCAGCCACCACGTCTGGGCACAGTGCAGACATCGGAACCCAGATGTTAGTACCCACGCACGGAAGGGTGTTGAGCCACTGGGAATAAAGGACTCACCGAGGACCTCCCCCTCCACACATAGTTAGCTCTAAAAACCCCGCTGAAGTGGGGTTCATCTCGGGGACGTTTCAGCACACTTCTGGGATTTAAAACTGGTGGTCCCTGCACTATACTTCTCGGGCGGCACTCGACCCCCCGCGATACCCAGCACCTCCCCTCGTTCAGTTATTACAACCAGGGCTTGTCGTAGGCGTGCCTCTTCGAGTGCTCAGATTTGGGTCATGAGCAGGAGACCTGTGGGCCCTTGTTAAGTGGCTGTTTCGTTTAGGCCAGCTTTAAGGAGTCCTACATGGCTGCGTTTTACGAGTTCTTCAACGAGCAGAAGTACGCTGACGCAGTGAAAAATGTGAGTACCCACGTCCGTTACCACGGACCTGCCTTCCCCCAGTGTCTGTTGTTTCTAAGAAACAGGGTGACTTTTAAAAAATTTTGAGTTTAAATTTGAACAACATAAAACCAACCACTCATTCGCCCTTGAAACAGTTCAGACCATCTGGTCCGTCCTCAGTGGTGTGAGGACCTCCCCCCCCCCCCCCGCCCCCCCCGCGCCCCCGCTGGGTGCCAGGACCTTCACCTCAGGGCTACTGTAGGCACCCGCCATACTGCTCCTCTGGAATCTGGCGTCTGGGCCCTCATTATTTTTACGTCTAAATTCTTTGTCAGCGATACCTTCACGGGATACCTCCCGCTGTTGTTCCACAAACCCCCACGTCCTGCCCGGTCCCGGACGTCTGCTCCTGGTGCCTCAAGTCACAGAGCCCTAGGGCCCCAGACCCAGATGGAGGACAGCATGCTTAGGGGGAACTCTTCTGGACCCTAAATAATTTTCTTCTGTTCAGAAGCAATTATACATATTTACTGCTCAGAAGTAATGAAAACCGTAACCTGGAAGGGAAGGAAGACAGAGGAGCTGGGGCAGCCAGCAGTGGGTGGAAGGAATCCAGACAGGCCATGGGACAGATGAATTAGGCAGGGAGCCCCACCCCCACCCACCCCAGCAAAACCACTGGGAGACGAGGACGGCCGGGGAAGAGAGCCCGCGATGCTCCCACTTCATGAGGGATGCATTCCTGGGTCACATGTTGGAAGGCAGGTAGGCCCCCGGTGGTCCCTGAAGTCTGGCAGCCTTTCAGGCTGGGGGTGCAGTGAGGCCTTCCCCGGGGGAGCCAGTGGTGCTGGAAGCTTCTTAGCAGCAGTGGAGACCAGCACAGAGTCCCCACGATTTTCAGAGAAGAGCCCACTGCCCTGGCACCTGCTTCCCAGATTCTTCTGTCTCATCCGGTGCCAGGGACACGAGCGTCCTGTGGCATCACGTACGTGTAAGAATGAGTGGGCTCAAGCATGCCATTTAGTAATCCAGTTCCTTCCCACTTCAGTTCCTAGACTTGATCTCGTCCTCTGGGAGAAGAGACCCCAAGAGTGTGGAGCACCCCATCCTGCTTAAGGAAGGGTAAGGCTGGGGGGAAATGCAGGTGGCGGGTGCTCCCCTCTGTCTGGGCCGTAAAGTGGGGCGTCTCTGCCCCCAGGGCAGTGGTCTCCCAGGTCAGAGGCAGCCCAGACCTTTGGGGCCGTGAGGCTGGGGGGAAGTGTAGCCTTTGCCCACCACTCTTAAACTCTCCAAGACTGCACGCCGCCCAGGTCTGAATGTGGCGTTGACTTCGTTTCTCTGTGCCCATTCTCTGCTCAGTTTGCAGTGGGAAGTGCCCATACCTGGGAGGAGGGGAATGGGAGACAGAATGACCCCTGCATAGTCAGGCATTCACGCACAGTCACACTAGTTCAAGGCCGTCCCTTCCCCTCCGTGAGCCCCTCATTCCTGAGCCCCTCTTTCCGGAAGCATGCCCGCCAGAGAGCAGTGCTCCCCTTGGCTGGTCCCTGCCCAGAGCCCTGACCGCCGCCAGCGCCTGCTCTCTGAGAGCATCCGGCCAGCATTTCCGTGTGGGGGTGCAGAGGGGTGGCTGCTGTCGGAGGGCTGATAGCCCAGTTACCAACCGGAAATTGAGGGTTAACATCAGCACGGGGGCTGAACTTCTCTCAAGCAGAGTCATTGGCCTTTTGATGTTTAAATCCTGTCACTTGGAAATGAGACAGACAATACTGAAAACCCACAGTCCGAATCAGTATCACAGATCCGAAGGTGGGGGGTGTCTGAGTTTGCAGCCGTGCCCGTGGGCGGCAGGACGGAGGGCTGGTGGACGTGCCCGAGGTGGGCCGTTCACCCAGCGCGTCCTGTTCACAATAGGTTCATGATTAAGAGGGCGCAAGGACGGAAACGATTTGGGATGAAGAATTTTAAGAAAAGGTGGTTCCGCCTTACAAATCATGAATTTACCTACCAGAAAAACAAAGGTAACAAGAAAAATTCGCTCCTTCCTTTCACATACTCCGTTCCGAGGGACCGGGGCTTGGTGCCAGCCCCAGCCGGGGTTCCCGCTGCTTCTCTGAGAGAGACCAAGAGCAGACAGCTGTGCTCTCAGACAGGAGAGCAGGGGGCTTCCACCGGGCGCCTGGTGGGAGGGCGTGCGCGGGCAGGGCCCCACCTCCAGGTGTAGGAAGCGGGGTCTCACGGGGCAGTGAGGGTCTAGTCCCATTTTGGCTGTGTTCTCCTGGGTCTGAAATGGCTCGGATGTGGATCACGGAATGGCGAGAGAGTAGTTCCTCCCCACAGACACATGGGAACGTGTTCCTGGAGACTGGGAGAGGCTTTGGTGTCGTGGTGGGTGCCGGTCCTGGGTGCTGTTGGGAGTGCGTCCATGAGGCTCAGTTGTTCTGTGCACACAAAGGACCATTTCCAGGCCTCTCTGACCACTGCCCTCGTCCCCCTCATGCCGGTGGTCAGTCAGATTCCTAGCCTTCTCGCCAAAAGAGAGGAGACCCTGACCCTCGTCCTAACGCAGCACGACCTCTGGGCCTGCCGCTCATTAACCCTTCTCTGCGACAGGAGACCAGCCCCTCTACAGCATTCCCATCGAGAACATTCTGGCAGTGGAGAAGCTGGAGGAGGAGTCCTTCAAGATGAAGAATGTGAGTGCACCCTCTCTTTCCTCCCCATCACCACCTCCCCGGCTTCTCTCTCCTCCCCCAAACCACCTCCCCTCCTCCTCTCTCCTCCCCACCAACCCACCTTCCTGCTTCTCCTTTCTCCCCACCATCACCATCTCCCCTGCCTCTCCTTTCTCCTCCCCACTTACCCCACCTCCCCTGCTTCTCCTCTGGGGCCAGGTGACCTGGGTGCTCACGAGTGCTGTGGATTTTGCGTCAACTGTGGAGCAGGCAGAGCCTGCAGGAAAATGACCCCCTGATGGCTTCGGGGGTCCAGGGACCCTTTGTTAAAGGACACCGCACCGGGATAGGCTCTGGGACCATGTGGAATTTCTTTCAAACTGTTTATATTGATGTAGTTTTGAGCTTCCAGAAAACTTACAAGAGTAGGACAGGGACCTCCTATGTCCCCTAATCCAGAATCACTGGTTTAGTCCCGTTTGCCGAGCATAGTCCTTCCTTCGCCCTTCTCCTGTCTCTCCATGTATAATGTACATATTTTTTTCCTGAACCACATAAATTTTCTGTGTATTTTCTAAAAATAAGGACTTGTATATAATCTCATACAGCGACAAAGTCAGGACACCCAGCTCTGACGCACCAGCACTACTGGTCCACAGTCCGTATGTCAGTTTCGCCAGCTGTCCCGATCCGTCGCTGTTTCTCCCAGGCTGGCCCGCACCCCAGGGCCTCGTGGCCCATCATTTCTCTGCTGTCTCCTTGATCCGGGGCATTCCTCAGTCTCTCCTGTGCTGTGGCCTTGGCACATTAGAAGCGTACAGGCCAGTGTTTGTGGACACCCCTCCATCTGGGTATCAGGGTCCACTGGGCATGTCCCGGTCATGCGTGCTGTCGGGAATCCATGCCTCCATCTGGGTGTCGGGGGGTCCACTGGGCACGTCCGGGTCATGCGTGCTGTCGGGAATCCATGCCTCCATCTGGGTGTCGGGGTCCACTGGGCACGTCCGGCTCATGCGTGCTGTCGGGAATCCATGCCTCCATCTGGGTGTCGGGGTCCACTGGGCACGTCCGGGTCATGCGTGCTGTCGGGAATCCATCCCTCCATCTGGGTGTCGGGGTCCACTGGGCACGTCCGGCTCATGCTGCTGTTGGGAATCGTGCCTCCATCTGGGTGTCGGGGTCCACTGGGCACATCCGGGTCATGCGTGCTGTCGGGAATCGTGCCTCCATCTGGGTGTCAGGGGGTCCACTGGGCATGTCCGGGTCATGCGTGCTGTCGGGAATCCATGCCTCCATCTGGGTGTCGGGGGGTCCACTGGGCACGTCCGGCTCATGCGTGCTGTCGGGAATCCATGCCTCCATCTGGGTGTCGGGGTCCACTGGGCACGTCTGGGTCATGCGTGCTGTCGGGAATCCATGCCTCCATCTGGGTGTCGGGGTCCACTGGGCACGTCCGGGTCATGCGTGCTGTCGGGAATCCATCCCTCCATCTGGGTGTCGGGGGGTCCACTGGGCATGTCCGGCTCATGCGTGCTGTCGGGAATCCATGCCTCCATCTGGGTGTCGGGGTCCACTGGGCACGTCCGGCTCATGCGTGCTGTCAGGAATCCATGCCTCCATCTGGGTGTCGGGGTCCACTGGGCACGTCTGGGTCATGCGTGCTGTCGGGAATCCATGCCTCCATCTGGGTGTCGGGGTCCACTGGGCACGTCCGGGTCATGCGTGCTGTCGGGAATCCATGCCTCCATCTGGGTGTCGGGGTCCACTGGGCACGTCCGGGTCATGCGTGCTGTCGGGAATCCATCCCTCCATCTGAGTGTCGGGGGGTCCACTGGGCACGTCCGGGTCATGCGTGCTGTCGGGAATCCATGCCTCCATCTGGGTGTCGGGGTCCACTGGGCACGTCCGGCTCATGCGTGCTGTCGGGAATCCATGCCTCCATCTGGGTGTCGGGGTCCACTGGGCACGTCCGGCTCATGCGTGCTGTCGGGAATCCATGCCTCCATCTGGGTGTCGGGGTCCACTGGGCACGTCCGGCTCATGCGTGCTGTCGGGAATCCATGCCTCCATCTGGGTGTCGGGAGGTCCGCTGGGCTCATGCGTGCTGTCGGGAATCCAGAGCGCCTGGTGTCGCCTGGTGCATTCTCTTGGGAGGCTCAGCTGGTGGTTGGTCAGTGACTCGTGGGAGATACAGTGGCTGTGGTGTCCCCAGTGTTCCCCGCCACGATGACGTCCTGACTCCACCGTCCCCTCGCTACTTTTCCCTGGCTCTCTGCTGCGCACATCTTTCTCTTCTCCCCCAAGGAGGCTGACTCCTTCATTTGTTAGGACTGTAAGGGCACCCAGGGCCCCACTGTATTGAGAGGCCAGAGTCCTGTGGCCCAGAGGATGGCCTGTTCTGCGCAGCATCTGGGCCACTGCACACTGCCTCCCTGCACCGGCGGCCCCCCTCCCTCAGCAGGCTGAGAGACGCCAGGTTCACGGTTTGCAGAACAGGACCTCAGGTCCGCTCTGCCTCTCGGAAGCTGACAGGGAATCCGACCCAGCCTTGGCTCTCTCCTCTGTGTGCCTGCCTTCCGCTCACTGGCACAGTCAACGGGCCGGTATTCAGTGGGAGCTTAGGGCTGCACCGGGTCTGTGGGTCTGTTGGGCCGGGCCAGGGCCGGAGTCACAGGACGCTTCCATCTCTGCCGGGTCTGAGATGGGCTCTGCGGCCACTGGGACGGACGGGGGAGGGGCTCACCCTGGACGCTCAGCTGGCAGACAGCAGCTTCTGCTCTCCTGCTCGGTTTTCTTTCTTTACTAATTCGAGAGAGAGAGGAAGGAGAGGGAGAGAGAAAGAGAGAGAAACATCAATTGGTTGCTTCATACCTGCCCCGACTGAGGCTTGAACCCACAACCTGGGTATGTGCCCTGATCCGGAATTGAACCCTTGACATTTCAGTGTATGAGACGATGCTCCACCCAGCCGAGCCACCCCGGCCGGGCCTACCCGGTTTCCTTAATTCAGTTCCTCACCCTTCCGTCAGGACGATTCGATGCCATTTCCTGGGCAAGCAGATAGCCCCGGGGCAGATGTGGGTTTTCCTGGACCCGAGGGATGTTCACACCATCGCACCTGCTCCAGGAGTGGGAAGGCCCGCCTCCTTGGCGGGCACTTCCTGTAGCATGCCCACCTCGCCCTCTCGGGACGGGGGCTGGGAGCTGTGTCCGGAGCCAGCGGCGTTCCCAGGCACCCACGGAAGGACACGTGTGAAAAATCTCCTGGAAGCAGCTGTGAGCTGTTTCGTTCCTTCGGGCCCTTCATTTAGCGTTAGGATAATCCCCTAATTTTAGCATCATTTATTCATCAGCCTGTTTTTTCCTGTTGCCTTCCTCAGAGCCAGCTTCCCATGGTGCTATTAGACTGATGTCCTGTTCCATTTGAGAGACATTTTTGAAGGCTTGTTATGTCCTGAGCCCTGATGCAGGGACCAGCCTGTGAGGATAATCAAGACAAAATACCTCTCTCTAGAGGCTCTCCTCCACTGGGGACTGAGCCGTGCACAGCCGTGCAGTCCGAGGCCCATGCAACAGTGTGTGTGTGCGCAGGCGGGGCGGGGACTGCGCCCCTGGAACTGCGCCCTGTATTCACGCAGGAACTTGGACTCACAGCTCCCTTTCCCAGATCCAGCGGCTCCTGTTCCCTCCTCCTGTCCCCTCAGCGCAGCCGCCACCCCTTGGAAAAGGCCACTGTCATCTGTCTTTGGCATCCTGACTCCTGGCGTCCCCTCACGCGCCCTGACAAGCCCCGTGTGAGAGCCTCTTAGGGCTCCGCCTGCCCCCGTCCCCGAGCACCCCCTTCTGTGTGCAGCTGGCCTGCTCCTGCTGGGGGCACCCAACCTCCCTGGTGCTCGAAACCTTTGCGCCTATTGTCTCTGCTGCCCCAGGGCCTGCGCACCTCCTGTCCCTGCTGCCAGAACACGTCCATCCCTGCGTTCCCCGTTGGGCTGGGTTACCTCTGAATTGCGCTCTGATGGCAGCGGGAACTGTTTATGCTGAGCATTCTGCACCGGCCTGCCTCTACCCCCCTGCCCCCACCCCCTGCCCCCACCAGACTCCTGCCCCCCTGCACTTGGCTTACTTTATCTTGCTGGCTGGAAGCCCTCGAGGGCAGAAACCCTGCCTACACGGTGTCCCCAGGACCCAGGACAGTACCTGGAACTCAGGAATGTTTGTTGAATGAAGAATAAGTAGGAAAGGCGGGGGGCGGGGCTCCGAGAATCCTCATGGAGGAAGTCACACCTTCCTGAAGTGAGGAAGGAATCCCCAGGTGGTCAGCGAGGGAGGGAGAGGCCTTTCAGATGGAGGCCGGCCTGGGGATGAGGACCGGAAGGTGGGCAGGATGAGCTCTGATGCACCTTGCATGGAGGCCAACCCCAGCTTAAAAGTCAGGGGACCCAAGGAAACCAATCCATGTATGTAACGGCCACAGTCAACTTTAGGAGGTCCCACGGGCCAGACAAGCAGTCCTACTCTAGCTTTGTGAAAGGGGGCCCCTGATGCCCCAGGGAAGGAAGTGACCAGGCTGACCATGGGTGACCAGCTGAGTCACACTGGCCTTCTTAGTCTCCATGGCTCCGGCTGCTCCTGTGTGCCCCTAGGGTGGGGGGTGGCTGGCTTCTGTTTTCAAGTTCAAGGGCAGCAGAAAGCCCTTTGCCGCCACTTGACTTGCCCGGGCCTCTGGGTCAGCTTCAGACCCTCTCACTGCAGCACCCTGGGCTTGTGGGCATTGACGATAATGGCCCCTGAGGTTCAGGCAGAAGGTAATGACCCCCGTGGTCCTTGCTGGGTGGCCCCTGAGCCCATCCTCTGTCCTCAGATGTTCCAGGTCATCCAGCCAGAGCGAGCACTGTACATCCAGGCCAACAACTGCGTGGAGGCCAAGGCCTGGATTGACATCCTCACCAAAGTGAGCCAGTGCAACCAGAAGCGCCTGGCCGTCTACCACCCCTCCGCCTACCTCAACGGCCACTGGCTGTGCTGCAGGGCCTCCTCCGACACCGCCCCCGGCTGCTCCCCCTGCACTGGGTAGGTCTGCACCTTCCAGCCTCCGGGACCCTCCCAGCCACCAGTGCAGCCAAGCAGTGACCTGGCTTGTGCACCCTACAGGGACGTTTGGTCAAGGGGTCAAGTTGGGGCTAAAATGCAGTCCCCAGCCACTCAACTAGCTGCACATGTGCAGGCTGAGTCTCCAGAGCTGTTCTCTACATCCCCCAGGAGCCCCACCCAAGGGAGCCTCTGGGCTCATCCTCATGAAGACAAGCCTTGAGGGTTCTCCTGTCCCCACTGGGGCTCAGAGCCATCCTTGGAGAGTGGGTGGGCCATGAAGGAGGGGGCTCTGTGCAGAGAGGACCCCCGGGGCAGGTTGTGCTGTCTGCTTTCTTCTAAGAAGAGTTGGGAAGTATTCCACCTTCTGATCACACCCCCTGTGCTTTTTCTATTTGATACCTCCCCCCCTTCTCGGGAAACCAAGGCAGCCCTTTTCCAGCCCACCATTAGCTACGCTCCTGACGGTCACTAGGGGCTCATCTCTACTTTCTGGGAAGGAGGCCTGGCTGGTCCCAGTGCCCCATGTGACTTGTGAGAAGAGTGACAACTGCTGTTTGTTGTGGTTGTGGATGTGAGGAATCCCCCAAAGCTCTGGGAGGTGGGGACAGGAAATGCAGCTTCACAAGCTAAGAAGCTGAGGATTGATAAGTTCCAGCCAGGTCCCCAGCCAGGAGTCTGTGACCGGGAGTCTGTCTCCCCACAGGCTGGGTGCTGTCTGGGAGTGGGGCTGCTGCTGTACCCTCAGGCGGGAGCAGGAAGGGCAGGGGACCTGCCTGTCCCTGCCTGGGGCAGCCCACGACCCTCAGGGCACCCAGCTTGGTGCATCTGTCAGGACTGCTTTTATTTCGGGTCGTTTCTTTTCACAGCAAAATAAATCTGCCTTGCTTGCTGTCCTGGCAGATCGGTGGGTATTGAGAGACCACCAGTCCTCCCAGACTGGATGGTCACTTCTCAGTGCTTGTGAATTATTTCACAAACCACAGACAGGAACCCCAGCCCCTTGGGGAGTGCTGTAACACTCGTCTTTAGTGATCTTTAAACACATCAGTATCGGGATTAACAGTATTGCGCTTCCCTTTCTCCTCACTGTGCTCGGGCAGTGGCCTCCCTGCGAACATCCAGCTGGACATCGACGGGGACCGAGAGACGGAGCGCATCTATTCCCTGTTCAGCCTGTACATGAGCAAACTGGAGAAGATGCAAGGTAAGGACCGGGTGTGGTCCAGCCTGCCGCCCGATCGCAGGCGGCTCTGGGGACAGCTGGCCCGGGTCCTGGTGGCACACGGTGCTTTCGCAGAGACGACTCGGGGAAGCAGGGGCAGATCTGGGGCAGACCTCATCGCATTGTGTTTCACTTTGTTGCGATTCCCAGAGACTGTGTTTCCATCAGCATCAAGGGAAGGCCCTCCACAGCAACAAAATGACCACTCGCTGAGGGCACACGTGACAGCATTTTTTAGTAAAACGATAGTTTTAATTAAGGTGCATTCATTGGTTTTTCTAGATAGAATGTTGTTGCACCTTAATAGCCTACAGTATAGTGAAACATAACTTTTATATGCACTGGGAAACCAGACCTTAGTGTGACTTGTTTTATTGCAGTATTTGCTTTATTGTGGTGGACTGGAACCGAACCCACGATACCTCCAAGATATGCCTGTAAACCCCTCTGAGCCTCCGTGGTCCACCTGTGGTGGTATCGTGTCTAGCTTTCTGCAGGTTAGGCGTCTGTTTGGGAGACAGTTTAGTACTTGGGACGGCGATGGTCAGCACGGACCACCCCGTTGGCTTGCTCCTGGGTACTTTATGAGACAGTGCCACTGCCTTGCAGACATCAACATGCACACTCTCAGCACCTCCCTGAGTCTTGGTTTTATCATGTGTTTATCATGATTGTTCTAGTTGATGTTGGTTTTATTTTCTCCTCCCTGAGCTTGGCTCATAATCTATTTACTAATCCATTCAATAATTTTGCATCTGATAGGTGGCTTATGGACTCCTCTTTTTTTTTTATCCTCACCCAAGGACATTTTTGCATTTATCTTCAGATAGAGCGGGAGGGAGAGAAGGGGGAAGAAAGAGACAGAAACATAGATGTGAGAGAGACACATCGACTGGCTGCCACCCACACGACCCCAACCAGGGCGGGGACAAACCGCAACCGAGGTACATGCCCTTAGCGGGAACCGAACCCAAGTCTCTCTGGTCCACAGGCCGATGCTCCAACCACTAGGCCAAACCGGCCAGGGCTGGACTCCTTTTGATGGTCTCAGCAGTTAAAACCACTCACCCAGCCTTGATCCTTGGACCTCCTGCAGGGCCCGGGCGGCTCCCAGGCTGCCCCAGGCCGCCCCAGGCACTCACCCACACAGACCACCCTCCTTGGTGCCCTGGGGTGGAATTCTTCCAGGATCCACAGGCCTCAATTCAGTGCCAGCTTCGGCACCTGCTACAAGACAGACTGGGCAAGTCACACGCCAGGCAAGCCCTGACTTCCTGTCCTGTGAAACGGGGCAGCAATGCTGCCAGCCCGCTGGGTTAATTCGAGGAGTAACTAAGATGAACTCGGTGAAGCAGTGAGCACAGCGCCCAGAGCTGAGAAGGGCTGGCTGTCAGCTGCCTGTGTCCTTGTCCTCATCACCATCACCATCTTCCGCCCCTTCAGGGCCTCTGGTGATTCCTCCTCTCATCTAAGCCGCAGAATGCTGCAGACACCTGTCCTGGCGATGAGAATGTCTTTCTGTTCCTGTTTTCTTAACAAGCTTCACAAACACTTGCTTTTTCAGGTCTTAGCTCTCCTGACCTGTCCTTGGTGGCTGTGATGTCCCTTTGCAGCTGTCCCCTCCCTCTGTCTTTATGACAAAGCAACCATCGCTCACACTTCTGGGCCTGGGGCCAGGGGACTCTGGGGCGCAGCACGGGGTCCTGTTTCCCAGAAGGGTTAACCGAGGCCCTGGAGCTGAGATCGTCACCGGCAGCGGCCTCGGGAGAGCGGCCGTAGGGCTCCAGAGACCAGCCTCAGGCCTCACTTAAAGAGGGAAAGGCTGAGCTCGCACCCGCGCTCTGGGCCTGCTCCCCGTCTCCACTCTGTTCCCCCTCGTGGTCAGAGCCCCCTACCTCTCTCATGTCGCTCCCTTCTTCTTTGATATTTCACGTCTGTTCAGTTTTCCTTTGCATAGACTTGTGATTTTTTTCAACTAGAACTGAGAGATTTCCCTGAGTAGGAAGTAGACACCAGTGAAGTGGACACCGGGACTGACAGTGAGCAGATCAGGACGAGGGCGAGGAGCCCTCCTGGTGCTGGCTCATCGGGGCCAGGCGCCCTGCAAAGCCGTGTCTCCCCACTGGGGCTCTCTGTGGCTGAGAGCATAGGCCCACCATAGTCGCCTGGGGACAGATGGGCGGGGCCTGCCTAGGTGTTTGGGGCAGGAGTGGGGCTGTTCAGGTATTTGGGTGCTTCCTGTGGGTGCCTGGCAGCTGCACACAGCATGGTCTGCTGCAGGAGTGAGGTGCCCAGTGAGAGCTACCCAGAGTGGCTGGGGTGCTGGAGGTCTTAGGGACCTGCCAGCACAGACTGGCCAAGGTGATGTCCTCCAGCTCATCTCCCAGACTGACCCTGTGTGACCCCACAGGCCTCCAGCCAGCCTGGCCCAGTGTCCAGGAGCAGATAGATGTCTGCTGTTTCTGGTTTGATAAGCTGGTGGGGTGTGGACAGACACAGGCTACCCAGGGGAAGGGCTGGTTAGAGAGGGGGCTGGGGCCCTGGCATTTGAAGCACTGGACCTGAAAAACCTCAGTTTCTGGGCCCTGGTGTTCTTTTTGTTTTTGGTACGTGCCCCCAGCGGGAACCGAACCCGGGACTCTGGTTCACAGGCCGACGCTCTAACCGCTCAGCCAAACCGGCCAGGGCGGCCCTGGTGCTCTGGCCCCACAGCTTTCCCAGGCTCCTCAGCGCGTGGGCCTTACTCAGGGGGTGGGGAATGGCTTCTGTTCTGGGTGCATTTGATGTGGAGGAGGCTGGGTGCTTCCACTCGCACTGACCACCGCCCTGGGTGCCCATCCCTGCAGAGGCCTGTGGGAGCAGGTCTGTGTACGACGGCCCAGAGCAGGAGGAGTACTCCACCTTCATCATCGACGACCCCCAGGAGACCTACAAGACCCTGAAGCAGGTCATCGCCAGGGTCGGGGCCTTGGAGCAGGAGCACGCCCAGTACAAAAGGGACAAGTTTAAGAAGACCAAGTACGGGAGCCAGTGAGTATGGCACCCGGTTGCGTGGGAAATCTCGGCAAGGGTGTGGGGGGCTGGGGAGGAGACCGCAGGGAGCTCCAGTGGGGAGGAGGGTGCCAGGCCTGCCCAGGTCCACCTGTGCGCAGGCTTCCGGGCTCCGTCAGAGAGGCCCTACTTTACTCCCAGGACTCGGCAATGTCCTGGGATCAGCACCTCTCCCCTCCCCCTCCTGCCCCAGGTCGCTGTCCCTGTGCCTACCTGCCTCCCCCACTCATTCACTTTCAGAGCCAGGCTGTCCTGGGCCAGCAGCCCTGCCCCCAGCAGGCTCTGCACCACCCCCCTCGAGGCCAGCCCTGGACTGGTCCCCATCTTCGTCGTGTGAGGGCTGGGGGTGCAGAGATGGCAGACTCAGCCAGGCTGCCTGTGTCCCTTCTGCCCCCAGCTGGCCTCGGGCCCACAGGCAGTTCAACCCAGCCACGGGCCTCCTGCTCTAAGGATGGAGGGTATGAGAGCTTCAGGGGCTGCTGGAGTTGAAGTGCATCAGGGACGAGAACAGTCCTTAGTGCCGCCCTGGTTAGCATCTCTGCCTGACCTTCCCATCCAGTGGTGTGTCTGTGCACCTGTGGCAGAGCCCACCCACCCACACAGCTTGCACAGGGCAGGTCCTCCTCCCTGCTCATTCCCTCCCTGGAAACGTGTGGTTCGATCTGGGAAGGGAAGCCAAGGGGCTCTGGGGGCGGTTCCAGCTTTGACCAAGTGCTCACAAGTGCCGAGCCCCCAGCGAGCACCTCCCAGCTGACTGGTCCGTCTGTGCTCCTAGGGGTCTGTCCTGGCTCCAGAACATTCCAAGCATATTCCAGAGTCCCTTTAACAGCCCTCTGTTGAGAGAGCCCACACTGACCTTCTAAAAATGTCTCTTGTTGAACATGGTAAAAGCACATGTTGAGAACCAACCGCCTGTGAAGCTCGGCCCTGCTTCCTGGTAGCGGCTGTGCAAGCCCTCGGGCAGCCGACGGGACCGAGTGCCCGCCACCCTCGGACCGGGCACTCAGCAGACAGCACCGAGCCCTGGGGGAGCTCAGGGTTGCCACACGTGTGGGTGCACTGCACATGCTCTTTGCTCATGCTCTGTACACATGATCACGTGTGCACACGTGACCTGCACACTGCGACCAGGGTCACAGTGGGTGCTCCACAGGCAGCTTTGGGCTAATTCTTTCTTCCTTTGCTTGTCTATATTTTTCAAATTCATCACATATAAACACAGGAAAAAGACTTAAAACGTGCTGATGAGCACTGGCGATGGAGGGCTGTGCCTCACCCTCTCCCCTCCCCCATCTGCCTTTGCAGGGAGCACCCCATCGGAGATAAGAGTTTTCAGAGCTACATCAGGCAGCAGTCAGAGGTCTCCACTCACTCCATTTAAAGCCTGGAGGGCGTCCTGTTCCCAGATGGCGCTGTGAGCTGCTGCAACGGGAAAGCCACAGTCTTTGCGAAGGAGGGAGACAGACAAGGCAGAGCGAGGAAGCAAAGGATCCACACTTCCTCCACTCGCATAGATGACAAGCGTCAAGCTCATGGGACTTCTGAGACTCTCCAGAGCTGTTTCCGTGGTTGCCATGCACTTTATTCACGCTGGTGGGCAGGTGCCCTGAGCTGGTCCGGCCAGGTGCCAGCGCAGCCTCACCTTCTGCAGAGGGGGTGCTCCTGTCTCGTGTGCACTACTGCCTCTGCTGGTGCCTGTGGCGCCCCACCGGGAGCTCTGCTTCTGCAGAGCCGGGACTTCAGAGCATTATTCTTTCTCCGGGAGCCTGCTGTCCCGGCGCCCACGGCGGGTGGCCTCCTGGTTTCAGCTTTTGGTGTTGGTATTATTCCTGGCTGGAGGGTCGGTTTTGTCAGGGTGTGCAGAACTGCACAGAGATCCCAACTTGAGGATGCTCTTGATATTTTGGGGGTACAGGGTTCTTCTGCAGAGAGTTCCTGGGGAAGGGGGAGTTTCAGACGTCTCTCCTGGAGGTCAGACCCCCCCTGCTGTCTCCTGAGATGCCCACAGCCCGCAGAAGCCCTCGAGCTGGGTGTCGCCCAGGCTCCGCTTCGAGCAGAAGTGTTGTGCTGTCAGTGAGGCTTCAGCGTAGAATCCACATTTTCTCCCCCTTGTGGGAGTTTGGGGAAGATTTTAAAAATAGAAATGTGCATTATTTTCAAGCTGTTTTTCTTAACGTTTTTAATTAGCTCTTTGATATGAAGTAACTTGGAACATCCAAACCTGGACTCGTGAAAGGGGAGGGTGCCACAGCGGGGCAAAAAGGGAATGGGTCGCACCTCGTTGGTTACTGGTCCTCCAAGGAAAACCAAGCCAGGGAGGAAACCCTGGGCTTCAGGTGGGAGCGCGCACCTGTGCAGACGCCCCCTGGGCCCCAGGAGTGGTATTGCGCTGTGTTTCTGTGAGGCCCTCAGAAGCAGCCGTGGGGGCTGCTCCTACTGGGGTTGGGGTTTCCTAACGCGAGGGACCTGCTTGCTGACTTCTCCCAGACAATCCTCCGAGCTGCAGGCACTGGCTTTGGGAAGTACTGTTGAAACACGCAGCACCCTGTGCCCCTGTGCCCACCTCTGCTCTTGTGTGCAAGTACTGCCCTTCAGACTCCGTCTAGATGGCAGATAGTAACGTAACTCGTCACAGAAATGGTGGAGAAAAATGTCGCAAAAAATTAACTTTGGGACACACAGCTATAGGCTGCACCAAACTGCAATTTTTAACATGGATTTGTAACTTAATGTTTCTGTTTATAAGATACTAATGATTTGTGATGTATTTTACTGGCCAATTAAAACAGACGTTTTATTCTTTCTGAGGACTAGCTTGGTTTCCCAGGAATGCCCACTGGGAATTTCACACGTGGGAGGTGGAGGGTGTGGGGGAGCTGGGCAGGTGGGGAGCTGGAAGATGTACCTGTGATGACAGGTGAGGTCCTTCTGATGACAGGTGGTGACCCCCTGATGACAGGTGAGGTACCTCGGACAGGTGAGGTCCAGTTGTGGGGCTTGAGCTTGAGGTGGGAACCATGATGCCCTGGGATGGAGAGGTGTGGGGTGGGCACTGAGGGCTGTGGGGGTCGAGCTCAAGGAAGGTGGGAGAGACAGGCTCTGTCAGGTGCCACTGTCTGAGAATACAGCCCTGGGCTGAGAGCTCGCGGACTTCAGTGCCACTGAGCAGAGGTGCTGTCCCCCCCGGGGGTAGGGAGGGGAGCCAGATGCACAGGAGGGGGTCTGGGGAGAAGAATGTATATTCTCATTTCCTTATTCCTCTTTTTCTCCATTTGATTTGATTTTTTTTTCTTTTTTTGTCCTCACCCGAGGATATTTTTCCATTTGTCTTTAGACAGAGTAGGAGAGAGAGAAAAAACAAGACAAAAAAACATCGATGTGAGAGAGACACATCGCGGTTGTCTCCCTGCGACCCTGATCAGGGCTGGGGACAAACCGCTACCCAGGTATGTGCCCTTGGGCGCAGTCGAACCCGGGACTCATTGGTCCTCTGGCCGACACACTAGCCGCTGAGCCAAACCGGCCAGGGCTCTTTTTTTTTTTTAATTCCAACCTGGGTCAGCTGCTCCGAGAGGAATCAGAAGTTTCCGGGGTGCTGCAGCCACGGGACTTAGGATGCTGGGGGCAGCCTCCTTCCCTGGGGGCATGGAATGGGGGGCTGTGGTGGCTGCTGCTCTCAGCTCCTGACTGCTCTGCGCAGGGGCGCTGAGGACTGGGAGGGGGGGCTGCAGGAGGGCCTGCCCCTGAGGTGAGGCCGTGGGCATGTCAGCCCCGACATGAGGACCACAGCAGGGCCCCCGGGCGGCTCCAGGGGCCGGGCGGCTCAGACCCCAGACGCCCAAGCCCACAGAGGGAGTCAGGAGGGGTGAGAACTTCTGCCCCGTGGGAGGACGTGGAGGGATGAAAGGAGGAAACGGGAACATGGGGAACAGGGTGCCCAGTGACAGGTCACAGCAGGCTTTCTGTTTTCACCTTTTTCCCCAGAAAACCTGTTAGCTGAGGACAGGAGTGTCCTCCGCATCCCACTGTTGCGACTTCCCCAAGGTTAGATAGAGAGGGCCTTTTGGGTTGGAGCAGGTGCCTCTGGGGAAGGCTCGGGTAGGGGGGCACCATGTCTGTCCCTGCTGTCCACTGGGCTCGGTCACCTGAGGCCTCGTGCTAAGAAGCTCTCTGCACTTTGAAGGGAAGGAAGTACTGGTGGGACTAGGGAGCCACTTCTGCTTCTGGAGAGTTATGACACCCCAAGTGCAACCAGCTGGTTGCTCAGGAAAAACACCCGCTATGATTTGTCCCCCAAGGTCTTGGATGATTGGAGGGAAAACAACTGTGTGCTTCAGTAGGATATCAGACATTTTGTGAGGCTGTGTGAGGGGCTGAATTGTGTCCCCCAGAAACCTCATGTGGCGAAGCCCTGGCCCCTAGAACCTCAGACTGCGACGAATTTGGAGGTCGGGTCTTTTTTTTTTATCCTCACCCGAGGACTTTTTTTGTTGTTGTTGTTCAGGTAGAGTGGGAGGGAGAGAGAGGAAGAGAAAGAGAGAGAGAGAGAGAAACATCGATGAGAAAGGGACACATCGAGTGGTTGCCACCCGCATGACCAACCAGGTACATGCCCTTAGCGGGAACCGAACCCGGGTCTCTCGGGACCGCAGGCTGATGCTCTAACCGCTGAGCCAAACCGGCCAGGGCTGGAGGTCGGGGGGTCTTTAAAGAGGCAGTTAAGGTTACATGACGTCGTCAGTGCGGCCTGACCCCATGTGACTGGCGTCCTTATAAGAGGAGATCAGGACAGGACGCGCGCAGCGGGCCGGCCCTGGGGGGACGCGGAGAAGAAGCTGTGTGCACACCAAGGGGAGAGCGTCACGTCTGATAGGGGCGCTGAAGCCATCAGGCAGTGGCACTTTGCTGTGACTGCCAGCAAACCATACACCGAAAATGCCGTTCAAACCTGCCTGTCCCCAGACAGCCCTGCCTCTGACGCCAAAGAGAAGCTCTTGCAGCGCAGAGAAGGGATACCTGGCCACCCTGGACGCCCGCGGCACCCCGCCATCTTCGAGTCCTTTGTCCGTTCACCCCAGTTCAGTCTGCGCCAGCTGTGTCCCCTCAGCCTGCCTGGCCCCTCTCCCTCCGCTTCCCTGGCTAACAGGCCAGCAATGCCTGGAAGGAGGGGACCCCGCAGCCTGAGTGAAGGGCTGCTCCTGGTGACCTCTGCCCTCTGACCTTGCGTGATGTCACAGGGGACACTTAGCAACGGGGTCCCACCGAACACTCAGGCTGCTCCCCTGGAAGAGGTTGGAAGCCATGCCCTCTGTCTGAGGCCGTGCTTGAGAGCCAGGTCCCTCTTCTTCCCGAGCCCTGAGGGAGGAGAAGATGGAGAAGGAGGCCACCACCATGCTCCGGCGGCACCGGCCAGGCGCTGGGGCTCCTGCTCTGGGGGCGGCCGCTGGGCACCTCAAGGGAACCAGCGAGGGGGCTGAACTCCAGAGGAGCAGGAGCGTGGGCGGCTTACACCAGAAGGGGGACCCTCCGAGCTGCATCCAGAAGCTGTGCAAGGAGCTAGGTAGGGGCACAGCCCAACTCCCCCACCGAGAAGGTCAAGGTGGCGAGCGCCACACAGGTGTCCAGGCAACACGACCCACCTGGGCGCCAGTGAGGCCAGCTTGAGGGCCGGGCATCCCTGTGGGTGGCCGACTGGCAGGGGGTGAGGCCTCGGGGAGCCGGTGGGCCTGGGAAGCCAGCGGACACGGCGACGGCCACTACCTGGTGGGGGGGGCACCACAGGGAGCGGCTCGGGTTCCTGGGCATGCGTGGGCCCAGCCTCCGTCGGCATGGGAACCCCCGCACCTCCCGGCCTGGGTCGGCTGTGACCCCGTGGGGCCCTGCACCTTGTGCTCGCCCCGTTGGCTGTCAGGCTGTGAAGTGTGTAGGTTTAGACCTTCCGGGGTCTGTCTGCCACTCCGGGCTGTTTCCACGCCTGCCGAGCGAGGCCCTGGTGTGGGGAAGTGGGGGTGGGTCCCGAAACGCCCTGGTTTTTCCCTGGACCTGCACCTCGCACGTGCTCACACGGCCCTCCCGCCCGTGGGCCCCTCACGGCGCTTTCCCCGCAGCGGCGACCGGAGTCGGCTGGGGGACAGAGACTGGGACAGGGACTGGGACAGTCGTGGGCTGGGGCGCTGAGCCCGGTTCTCCGGGGGGTCCTGCCCGTAGGGCCCTTTCGTGAGGTGGTTGGTAGGCTGCAGAAACGGAGCCCTGGAGGGAACTGCAGCCTGTTCGAGCCCTGGGGCCATTTTAGGGGAAGGGTGTGCACATTTGTTCTCCTCTGGTGTACAATCTGAACGTGTCTGCTCCTGTGCCTCCCGCCCGCCCAGGCTCTGAGTCCCTTCCCCACTTTCTCAGCCTCGCTCAGGAAGAGCGAAGTTTCCCAAAGAACAAATCAATCTACAGCTGCTTAGGAAACATTGCAAGTGGACACAGAGGGCCTGTCTCAAGTCCTGCTGGCCTTGAGGGCTGGCAGGAAGGCCTCTGTGTGGTGCCTGGTCCCCACTCCCGCAGCCCAGGCCGGTGTGCTGTATGGGGGGGCTCCGCGTCCCCGGGAGCTCCAGAGCCTGAGGACACAGGTGGCCTCGGGCCTCGCTCCAGGGAGGCAGCCCCAGGCCTTGTCCACCTCTCTCCACGATTGCTTTCTTCCAGCCAGATACATGACAGGAAGAGGCAGGATCCGGAGCTCTGCCTGGGACAGCCCGTGCCGTCTAGAGCAGGCACACGGGCCGCTGGCCGCTGACGTTCTCCAAAAGCAGCCAGTGTTCCAATCCCCCCTGGAAAACGCCGACGTGGTCCCCTGGTGTGCGGTTGAGGCCGGGCTGCTCCTTTTCCCCCTGGGGGATGTCTTCCGAGCCACAGTAGTTCCCCCCTATCTGCGGAGGGTGCGCTCCAAGCCCCTGGGATGCCTGAGACCACGGACGGTGTCGAGCCCCGTAGACATTGTTTCTCCCAGACGTACTCACTGTGTTCTTAGCGGAAGCACTTCACGCCTTCTCTGTGGCTCACCCGACTGCAGCACCACCGCTCTTGTGCTTCGGGGCCACCGCGAAGCAAGATGAGAGTTACTCACGGGCGCGGAGATGCCTCAGCGGCGGGTCTGGTCACCAGGGCGCCAAGCGACCAGCTGGCGGCAGTACACGCAGCGTGGCTGCACCGCACGAAAGGGTGGTCATGTCCCGGGCAGGGTGGACCAGGACAGCGAGAGATTCCCTCGCTATGCGGAATGGCACACCGTTCAAAGTGTGTCAGTTGTTTATTTCCGGCATTTTCCATTTAATATTTTCAGACGCTAGTTGCCCTGGGAACTGAACCTGTGTATAAGTGGGGACCCTGTACCAAGTTCTAAAATATTCTCTGAGGACACAGGAGTCCCACCCCCTCCCTCGAATCCGCACCCTTGGCCTTCGGGCTTTTTGTCCCTGGTGGGCCAGTGTCTGCCTGGGGAAGCTCAGCCACCCCCCCCCCTGCAGACGTCCCGGCGCCGGTGTGGGCACTGCAGGTGAGGAGCGTGAAGAGGACCAGTTCTTCTGCAGGAGTCCAGTTGGAGACAAAGAAAATGCCCAGTGGCTCAGCCAAGGCCACAGGTGCTGAGTCCCGGCCTGACGCAAAGCTGCCTCCAGGGCAGGTCGCTGAGCACCGAGCAGGGTGGCCAGTCCCCGTGGAGGGCGCGTTGGAGGAGGCAGGGGTGCAGGGAGAGGCTCCAGGGCAGGAACCACATGCGGGACGCAGGGACCAGCGCGATCCCACTGCCTGGAGAGGCAGAAGCGGGCCCCTCCGGGGAACCAGGCCGTCGGCGCCTCTGTCGGCCGTTGTCCCAGCCCCGAGGCCTGTGATCAGAAACAACACTGGACGGAAGGCCTGGAGCAGCGGCTCCAACAACCAAGTTCTGGAAGGAAATTCTCCAAGACAGGAGCTGCTCGGAGGTGCCCTGCCAGGTCTTCCATCAAAATATTGCTTCAAGTTTGGAACTTGCGCCAGGCTGAGCTTGCCTCTGGGGCCCCTGGGGGTGTTGGGGGTGGGGAAGAGCAGCTCCTGCGGGGAGCTGGTCACCTGTCATCCCGAGCTCAGATGTGACGGCCCAGAACAGAACCTCGAGGGCCCTGGGAGGCTCTCTCTCCCTAGAGGGCGCAGGGAGCCGCCCTCCTGCATGACTGCTGGAGGCCCTCCTGGTCCACACGCTCCTGGAGGCGAGAAGTCTCTGAGCTCAGTGGAAACAGTTCAGAGGTCCTTGCTCTGGTCCTGCCAACGTCGCCAAAAGGCATTTTACCTTAATTATGTAACGACTGCTATTGACATGAGCCCAAGGCTGAAGGAACAGCTCCCTGGGTGCCAGGCCCTGAACTACTGATGCACTGCTCTCTCTCACCTGGACACACATCCTTGCCAACGGGGCATCGGTGGGCACTTTCCTTGTACAAATGACACACTAAAGCCCCTGGCCGTGCCCTTCAGAGGAGGAACAGTGAGGAGAGGGGTGTCCTGGACAAGCCCTGGCGGCTCAGGTCCCACTTCCTGGGCCTGCATCGCCCTCCCCAGGGGACAGGCCTGCCCCGGGGGTCCCCACCCCTCCCTCCACTTCGCTGCTTCCAGCCCAGTGCGCTGCGACCAGGACGATTTCACAGGGTCCCCCTGGGTCTTGCACATTTATTGCAAAGGCGATGCCTGAAGCTTGACCCGAGCTCTGGACTGACGGAGTGGACGGGGCCTTTTGGGGGCAGGGAATCGGGAGACAACCTGTCAGGATCAAGACTGAGAATTGCTTTAGTCAAAACCATTAGTCATCAGGCTGACTCTGAGCACTGCAGGGTGCCTGGCACCCAACACCTGTGGGACATCTCTGTCCTCGTAGGGCTGAGCGGTGGGGCCCGGCCAGCCGCACGCCCGCCCCACAGGACGGAGTGTTCTGACAGACCCTGCTCCTTCCTCCTCAGAGTCTGAAGATCAGGGAAAGGACCTGAAAAGCGATGCCAAAGACATCATCTGGTAAGCGGGCTTTGTCCGGCAGGGGTGGTTTTCTAGCGACATGGAGGGCACAGGGGACGGACTGTGGGGGTGGGAAGTGGGCCAGCATCAAGGTGGAGACTTGGAGACCCTGAAGGAGGGGCTCAGATGGGAGGGTCTGAGACAGGAGGAACCAAAGTGGTTCTGAAGGCTGCAAGCCCCCCCCCCTTACGCCCACTCCCCGAGGCGGTCCCTGGAGCTGTGCCATGGCCCTGGAGTCTTGGAGCTGGCTCCTGTCTCAGAAAGGGGGGGGTTGTCATTCCAGACCACTGGGGTGCCTGGGCCTTGCGTTGGGGAAGGTCTGGATGTGCAGCGGAGCAGACAGGAGCAGTCTGGGCAGCACAGCCCCATCCCCAGAGCCGCTGCACATGGCTGCCTTCTCTTCCCCGCTCCCATGTGTCCTCCCACCCACCTCCCGCCCTCAGGCCCCTCTCTGCCTGCGTGTCCAGGCTGGAGCTGCCCCCGGAGCTGCCCGATGCCCCAGAGGGAGAAAGGTGTCATCTTGAAGCTGTATCTCCGTGACACCGAAACCCTTCTTTCTACTTCTACAGTCAGGCAAACCCAGAGGAAGAGAAGCAGAAGAACCAGGACGCCCTTGGGAAGCTGGACCAGGAGAGTGGGAAGCTGGACCAGGAGAGTGGGAAGCTGGACCACGAGAGTGAGAAGAGCAACTCAGAGGCCAGTGACCAAGAGGAGCATGAAGGAGATGGGAGCACAGACCAATGCATCCAGGAGGCCAAGGTCAGGCCGTGGTCCTTGAGCATCTGTGTGCTGCTGTTCTCTTCGGTCAGGGCCCTGCCTTTATTTACCTGCTTGGTGTCTTCTTACAGGAACAGGAGGTGGAGTCCACAAAGCTGGAAGACCTTCTGGAAAAAGAGGCAAGAACTCTTTAATCTGGTGACAGGTCCGATGGAGAGGCTTAGCAGGCATAGTCCTGTTGGACCACGAGTGCACTGTGGACATGTGGTCCCGAGTCATCTTGGTGGGACCGTGGTATAGGCTGGGCCAAGGCTTACCTGACCCCCAGAGATCCTTCCAGGTCGACTGTGCTCTTGGCCCCATGTGGGGCATCCTAACCCCAAGCAGTGCAGCGGCTCAAGGCATGTGGGTCCCTGATAGGAGTCAACGCTCAGCTTGATCTTGGCCCAGGGAAGCACCCCCAAGTCCCAGGCCCTGATGCATTGCTCACAGACATGTCAGCGCTACAGTAAGAACTGGCACAGGGCACTTTCTGAGGGGAGGTGGCTGTTGTTCTCCTTCCCGATCCACGTGGTAGGGAATGGAGAGGTAGCTGGATGTGCTTTACTAGGATTTATAACAGGTGGTCCCTGGTGTGATCCCCGCGGTTCTGGGGAGTCCTTCACCCACCCCAAATGCTTCCCTTGGTGTTGATTAAAGTGCTGCCATTGGAAACACATTCTGAACTGAGCCAAGGTGACCAATGAGAGACCTTGGGCAGCAACACCCGAGCTGCCTGGGCTTTCACATCTCAGTGCGAGTCTTTTTATTTATTTGATCCTCACCGAAGATATTTTTACATTAATCTTCAGATAGAGATTGAGGGAGAGGGGGAGGAAGAGAGAGAGAGAAACATCAGTTCGAGAGAGACACATCGATTGGCTGCCACCCACACAGCCCCAACTGGGGCCAGGGATGAACCACAACTGAGGTATGTGCCCTTGGCCGGAATCGAACCCAGGGCTCGTTGGTCCGTGGGCGACACTCTTACTGCTGAGCCATACCAGCCAGGGCTCAGTGCGAGTCTTTATAACCTGGTAAAGTGGGGTCCCAGGGAGATTTGTGGAGGCAGAGTGGGAGGTGCTTCCCGACTGAGCAGGTCTGGGGTGGGCTTGGAGGACTGCCCCAGATCTGGACATCGCCTGTCCCCAGAGGCCCTGAGTCTGAGGGTGAAGGTGGGAGAAACCCTCTGGGGTCTCAGGAACCTGATGGGAGGTGCAGGGAGAGGTGGGGAGGCCACACTCCTCCCGGAGGAGGGGCGCCTTGCCGTCCACTCTGCCAGCAGCTCCACCCAGCGTCTCGGGACGCCCACCGCGCACTGCCAGTTTCTGGCGGACCCAGTGTGATCACTCAACCCTTGGCTGCCTCGGGGCAGGAGCCCACTGCACCTCCAGGGAGTCTACCCCTCTCTAGCTCACCCAAGCCTGTCACCATGTCTCTGGTTTTCATTCACAGAAACCATCTATGTTTGTGGAGATTGACCTGGGAGACCATGCTGAAGAGGTAAAAACCGTCACATGACAAAGCCAAACCACCCAGCAGGAAATGTTTGTGCTCAGGGCCTGTAGGCTTTTCCAGGGAAGGTGCCCCATGCGTGTGTGTTGGAGACTGAGGCAGAGACAGGAACAACAGCATCAAGAGAGCTCCAGGGTGCTGAGGATTGGCCCTCTCCTCTTTCTCCTCTCCTCTCACGCTAACCTGCATGCATTCCAACACCATCAGAGACTCTAGGGCCTGGATCAACCCTTGGGGTGCCCATGGGCCTAGGAACCACTTGTGGAATCATGGTGGGGTGTTAGAAAGGGCACAGGCTTAGGAACTAGGAGACCTGGCCTCTACATTCAGCTCTACAAGTCACCATACCTGTCTGTGCCTCAGCTGTCTCATATGTAAAATCAGAATCTTAGTAGTACCCACACCCCAGGGTTGTTCTGTAATATCCAGGAAACCACAGTATTAGGTATCATCACCACCAGCAGCAGCAGCAGCAACAGCACCACAATCATCACTATCGTCACCATCACCATCACCATCATCATCACCACCGTCATTACATCATCACTATCAGCATCAGCATCACCACCATCACCATCATCATCACCATCAGCATCAGCATCACCACCATCACCATCACCATCACCATCATCATCACAACCATCATCACCATCACCATCATTCCAACCATCATCACCATCATCATCATCATCACCATCACCATCACCATCACCATCACCACCATCAGCAGCAGCAGCAGCAGCAGCAGCAGCAGCAGCAGCAGCAGCAGCAGCATTAGCATCATCATTATCACCATTGTCACATCATTGTTTTCTGTAAAGAGAAGTCATTGACCCAATGGCCTCTCTGGGATATCTTTCTCCATTTTTCTGCTGTAGTGGGCAGTCAACCTTTTAGACGTTTCTTGTCTTGGCAACGTTAAGCTCCTGTCTTGGGGTCATTGCAGCTTTTACCTCTCTGCCCTCTGAACGTGCTGTACAGTGAAAAGAGCTGATTATTCACTCCTGGGGGCACCACAGGTTCTAAGGACTCAGGAGGGTCAGCCTGTGGCAGAGTTGGGACTAAGGGCCCACATCTCCTGGTCTACAGTCCAGAGGTCGTGATCACCCATATCCAGGGCACAGTTCCTTGGTCAGGGTCCCTTTATTAGAAATTCCCACTTGACGGTGCTCAGTCTTGTGGGTGGGTGCTCGGGCCAGTGCAGTCTTTGTGTCCCCATCTGGCCCAGCCTGCCCAGCCTGGTGCCTGAGGTTGACTCCCTCCCCCACTCCATCCCCTCAAGTGCTTCTGCCACTTCCCACAGGTGGTCCCATGTGCCAGGAGAGGAGAAATGCATTCCCAGATGGACATGGGGGATTTGTCAGAAGACGAGTGAGTAATGGGTTCGTGCTCGGGAGGTGGAGAGACTGTTCCTCTACCACGGTTTCTGGGGGACCCACTGCGCTGCCCTCTTCCCTCGATGCACGCAAACACCTAAGCATTTACCAAGGCTGCAGGGGCTGAGAGACGGGCCACAGGGCGTCTAACCACCTACGGGATCCGGCACAACCTTTGCTTTGAGTCCCACCTCACTCCATAGCCGGCCTCTCCCCATCCCACCAAGCAACAAAAGGGCCAGAATACGGGGGAGGGAAAGGAGGGAAGAGGAGAAGGTAAGAGTGCACTGGCTCCCCATGGGTCGTGTCAGCTTGTTAGTTTGGGGGTTCGGCTGCAAAGGTCATGCACCTCAGTCCTGCAGGCAGTGGAGGTGGAGATTCAATCTACACTGCTGGGGAGGAGATTGTGTGGGGCCGTCAAAGCCCCACCACTTCCTGAGGCGGTAGAGGGTCCCGGAGAAGGTGAGGGTCCCGGAGAAGGTAGAGGGTCCCGGAGAAGGTGAGGGTCCCGGAGAAGGTAGAGGGTCCCGGAGAAGGCGAGGGTCCCGGAGAAGGCGAGGGTCCCGGAGAAGGTAGAGGGTCCCGGAGAAGGTAGAGGGTCCCGGAGAAGGCGAGGGTCCTGGAGAAGGCGAGGGTCCCGGAGAAGGTAGAGGGTCCCGGAGAAGGTAGAGGGTCCCGGAGAAGGTGAGGGTCCCGGAGAAGGTAGAGGGTCCCGGAGAAGGTAGAGGGTCCCGGAGAAGATAGAGGGTCCCGGAGAAGGTAGAGGGTCCCGGAGAAGGTAGAGGGTCCCGGAGAAGGTCGAGGGTCCCGGAGAAGGCGAGGGTCCCGGAGAAGGCGAGGGTCCCGGAGAAGGTAGAGGGTCCCGGAGAAGGTAGAGGGTCCCGGAGAAGGCGAGGGTCCCGGAGAAGGTAGAGGGTCCCGGAGAAGGTAGAGGGTCCCGGAGAAGGTAGAGGGTCCCGGAGAAGGCGAGGGTCCCGGAGAAGGTAGAGGGTCCCGGAGAAGGCGAGGGTCCCGGAGAAGGTAGAGGGTCCCGGAGAAGGTAGAGGGTCCCGGAGAAGAGAGGGTCCCGGAGAAGGCGAGGGTCCCGGAGAAGGTAGAGGGTCCCGGAGAAGGTAGAGGGTCCCGGAGAAGGTGAGGGTCCCGGAGAAGGCGAGGGTCCCGGAGAAGGTAGAGGGTCCCGGAGAAGGCGAGGGTCCCGGAGAAGGCGAGGGTCCCGGAGAAGGTGAGGGTCCCGGAGAAGGTAGAGGGTCCCGGAGAAGGTAGAGGGTCCCGGAGAAGGAGAGGGTCCCGGAGAAGGTAGAGGGTCCCGGAGAAGGTAGAGGTCCCGGAGAAGGCGAGGTCCCGGAGAAGGTAGAGGGTCCCGGAGAAGGTAGAGGGTCCCGGAGAAGGTCGAGGATCCCGGAGAAGGTAGAGGGTCCGGAGAAGGTAGAGGTCCCGGAGGAAGGTGAGGGTCCCGGAGAAGGTAGAGGGTCCCGGAGAAGGCGAGGGTCCCGGAGAAGGTAGAGGGTCCCGGAGAAGGTAGAGGGTCCCGGAGAAGGTAGAGGGTCCCGGAGAAGGTGAGGGTCCCGGAGAAGGTCGAGGGTCCGGAGAAGGTTAGAGGGTCCCGGAGAAGGTAGAGGGTCCCGGAGAAGGCTGAGGGTCCCGGAGAAGGTAGAGGGTCCGGGAGAAGGTGAGGGTCCCGGAGAAGGTAGAGGGTCCCGGAGAAGGCGAGGGTCCCGGAGAAGGTAGAGGGTCCCGGAGAAGGCTAGGGTCCCGGAGAAGGTAGAGGGTCCCGGAGAAGGCTAGGGTCCCGGAGAAGGTAGAGGGTCCCGGAGAAGGCGAGGGTCCCGGAGAAGGTAGAGGGTCCCGGAGAAGGCTAGGGTCCCGGAGAAGGCTAGGGTCCCGGAGAAGGTAGAGGGTCCCGGAGAAGGTAGAGGGTCCCGGAGAAGGCGAGGGTCCCGGAGAAGGCGAGGGTCCCGGAGAAGGTAGAGGGTCCCGGAGAAGGCGAGGGTCCCGGAGAAGGCTAGGGTCCCGGAGAAGGTAGAGGGTCCCGGAGAAGGTAGAGGGTTCCGGAGAAGGCGAGGGTCCCGGAGAAGGCGAGGGTCCCGGAGAAGGTGAGGGTCCCGGAGAAGGCGAGGTACTTACTCCTAGGCCACCCCAGGTCCCTCGGACCTGTTTTGTTTTAAACAACAGAGAAAAACACAAGGAAGAAAATAGCAACTTATTCAACATCTCACCTCTCAGAATTAACAACTATATTAATACCTTGGTTTAATTATTTGCACATCTTTAAAAGAAAAAATTCTCTATTTGCTTCGTCAAATGGATACACGGTCATTTTAAATAACTTAAGTGAGGTGGCCGAGCGCAGCCAAGAGGAAAGGCTGGAATCGCCCAAGTTCCGCCCCAGAAGCAGCGAGGACCACAGGCGGGCCGAGTTAAAACGTAGTTTCGAAATAACGGGGGGGGGGGGGGGACCCGGGGCGCACAGACGGGCCGGTGGAAACGGGCCTTCCGTGGGTGCCGCCTTCCTGGGTTCCTGGGTCTCCAGCTCTGACAGTTCATAGCGTGACAGCCCTTTGCTTACTTGGCCCCCGTTGTTGCCACTCACCCTGCCCCCCAGATCCGTGTGTATGGGGAGAGTGTCTGTGAGCAAGTCCTATTCCATCTTCACTCAGAAGATCTGACTCCTCTGATCTCGACGCCCACAGCCGGTTGTGTCGGCTTTCGCGTGGAAGAACGAGATGGTCCTGTCACACTCTCAAATCCAGGCTTAAACTAAGTAGTCTTTCCCTGAGCACACCTTTATTTTCCTCCTTGTTTCCAAATGGACGTGGTGATGAACTCAGCCATACCAGACGCAGCTTGGCAGCTTTATTTTCTGCCCCAAAGGCTGGACAATCCCTGGTCCACCTCCCTGGCCTCTTGGACTCAGCCCATCGCCCCTAGGACTCAGCTTCCCGAAAACCTGTGAGACAGGCCAGCACTCAAACCCAAGCCAGGGCCACTGGAGGCCTCTAGGCCAGGGGGACGGGGTCTGCCGTGGGCCCCCGGGGGCCAGGCCTGGACACTTGCTGGGCGGAGTCACCTTCTTGTCCTGCTGCCCAGCTGACCTACAGTCTCAGTTTCCCTCAGAGCGAAGGCTTCCCATCCAGCCCTCCCCCTCGGGTCACTCCGGTGGTGGCGTCAGGTACCCATGTGCCAGCAGCCCAGCAGCCCAGTGGGACGTGCTGGCACCGAGCCGTGGTGATCCCTGCCCAGGAACAGGGGCCGCCGTCTCATCCCCCAGGCAGACTTGGCTGGAGGTGGGAACCCTGGCGACCACCCCACCGGGATGAGCACAGGCCGGGTTGCTCTGGAAGTGTGCTGGGCTGGATGTGGGAACCGTCCCCTGTGACACTGGGCTCAGCCTCTCATGTCCACGGGTCTCTTCTGACTCAGGCCTTGCAGGACAGAGGACAAAAAACGCGGTGTGGGCTGGGGAAACGGGCGTCAGTGGGAGGGCGAGCCTGGCTCTGCGCTGGAGCCCGGTTTTGTGCACATGGCCCTGAAGCTACAAAACTGTGGCTCCCCGGGATTCGAGTAGTGGGGTGCAGCAGAGGTTGGACAGAACCCTGTGGCACACGTTTGGGGCTGAAGGGGTGCTGCATGGGCCCGGGCTCCACTCCAGGCACCTGTGGCCCCCTGGCCTGCCTCTGTCTCACCACCTCCCTCCTCTGGGCCTCCAGGGCCAGGACCAGCTGGTTGTGCTGCATTCCGTACTCCACCAGAAAGAAGGTGAAGGAGAGCGCGTAGCAGGCCTGGGCAAGGTAATTTGCACACAGTGAAAGCCGGGCTGAGCTGGGGCAGCCTGGGAGATAGGAAGTCAAATAGAGGGGGCTATGTTGCCTGCCAGACCTCCCCCCAGCTTCCTTGGTCCCCCTCAAGACAAACCCCTTCTTTCTGGACAGTGAGCGAGGGTCTCCACTCTGTCCCCCGGGGTCAGCCAGGAGATGCAGAGGGATGCGAACAAGCAGCCCTGAGAGACGCCACGCACGCCTGTTCCATGGGCACCAGCGACCTGTGCATGAATCACTGACCCCTGGGTGAGCCATGATGCCATCTTTTAAAAAGACACAATAAAGAGTGAACAAAGATGCCTTCCCTGTTCCTCTGCTCTCGTCAGATCCCTGTTCCTTTCTTCTGTGCATCTCGTGCCACGAAATGTAGATGGGGAAGGGAAGCGGCTCAGGGACAGACTGCAAGACAGCTGACCTTTCCAGGTCATAGGTACACGACCGTGCGGATCCTAGGAAATCCCATAAGCACAGTCAGACCCCCACAGGCCTGGAGTGGCTCTGCTGTCCAGGATGGCCCACAAAGTCAGTTCCAGATCACCTGGGGGTCCTGCCCTAACAGAATTCTGGGAGCCCAAAGGGGGGCTGGGCATTGTTCCCTGTGGTCCCAGGAGCTCAGCTTAACCAGGAGCGAAGCATCCTTGCAGGTGCATGCAAGAGGTTTTGTGCCACATCTCTCAGGCCTTTATTGGGAGCCAGGAGGGCCACACAGAAATCCAGGCACAGGGAGAGGCTGCCTGCGGGGGAGGGGATGGGCAGGAGCAGAGGGCCACGCAGAGGAAGACATTACCAGGGGCTTTGGAGTCCTTTGTGCAACCGCTGCATTTCAGCTGCAGGTCAAGAAGGTGAATGTGCACAATTCCATGGGATTCAGCTTAAGGAGAACTGTAGGCCAGCCGCCTCCTGTAAGACGTCCCACTAGTCTGTACTCAGCACACACAACTGGTCACTCACATGCAAACACATGTACACTTGCATACACGTGCACAGACACCAACATGCCGTGTTCACACACACCACATGTGCACAGCTGCATACACATGTGCATGCACCACACACATACACACATGCACACCTCACGTGTGGGCACGTGTACATGCACAGACACACACAGTGCACAGGCACACACGACTCTGCAGGAGGGCGTGGGCAGGTGATGAACAGCATCTCTGAGAACGAGGACTATCTGGGCCCAGAGGTCAGAGGACACAGGTGAAACCCTCAAACACCCACCATGTAGGGGACACATGTCCATCGCCTCAGTTCTTCCCTGCTGTGACCACTGTCCAGATGAGAACAGGGAGGTTCAGAGACAGCTGAGGTCCTGCCCTAGAAATGAGCTTTCCTGGGCAGGGTGTGGAGCTGCAGCCACACTGACCAGTGAGCAGATGACAGAAAGGCCACCGTGCTGAGTGCTCATCACGTTCTAGAGGTTGGGTGTTGCTGCTCGTCCCCCTGGACAGGAGACATCAGGCAAGTGCCCTGTGCCCCAGCCCCCCAACTGCTGCTGACTTGAAAGGCACCCAGGAAGCTCCTGCGAAACTGCTGTTTGGCCCGTGGCCCTGGCCCTCACCACAGAGCAACACTGGCCTGAGTCGATCCTCTGGTTCTGAGCCTGGCACTGTGCCACAGGCCAGGAAGGCCTGGCCCCAGGTCGCCCTCTTCCATTTGTCTGTCATCCCTCCCTGGCTGCTGCACCTGCTGGCCACTCAGAGAGTTTGCACAGCATGGCTAGTTGGAGTTATCTTTCGCTAGTTTCGCATAGCAACCTCCAAAATCAGAAGCACGTTTTACTGTTCATTGGGCTCTGAGCCTCAAGCCCAGGGTAGTTCTGTTCATCCATGCCATCTGGGGGTGCCTGCGGGGGCAGGGGGGGGGCGTGAGCCCAGGGTGGCCTTGGGGGGACAGCCTAGAGGAACCCTGGTGCGCGGCAAGGCGGCGGTGGTGCATGCCCCTTGCTCACGTGCCAAGCTCCTTGAGCGAGGAGACGGGTGGAAAAGGTTCGAGCCTAGCCCTGGCCAGCGCTCAGTGGTTAGACCGTCGGCCCTTGGACCAAAGGGTCAAGGGTTTGATTCTGGTCAAGGGCACGTTACTCGTTACTCGGGTTGCAGGTTCGATCCTAGGCCCTAGTTGAGGTCGTGTGAGAGGCAGTCAATCGATGTGTCTCTCACATTAGTGTTTCTCTCTCTCCTTCCCTCCCTCCTTCCCTTCCACTCTCTCTAAAAATCAGTGGAAAATATTCTCAGATGAGGATTAACAAACAAAAAAGGAAAGAAAAGGTTTGCGCCTCCATTCTGGGTGCTCCCGGGCCAGCGGAGGCCCCTTCTGTCCTTGCGGAGGCTCCCACGGAGCAGGTGCTGCCTGAGGAGTGTGACCACTCGGCCCACTCAGCCCTGCTCAGCCCACCCCTCCTTCCTGCCGGACGCATGCACCGCCCCAAGGGTGATGAGGGGTGAGGTGAGCCTCAGAGGCAGGGAAAGAGCAGCGGGCCTTGAGGAATCTACACTCACAGCGCAGTGAGAACTGTTGATTGCTTCCAAGTAGGAGTGGAACCAGAGCGCCCAGCCTGCGAGGCCCCCTGGTGGCCATCAGAGCTACTTCTGCCCTGTCTGGGCGCAGGGGCTCAGCCAGTGCGGAGAGGCCCAGGCAGCGGGCGAGGGCGGAATGGGACACCTCCTGCACCAGTGAGGCCGTTGGCAAACAGGTGGCCATTTAAATTTAGGGAGGAGTAAGCCAAATTGTCCAGGCTGCCTGTAAGTCTTTCTCCTGGACTGCCCTCTCCTCGGGCCCACCCCTACCAGCTCATCTTATGGGGGCACGGATGCAGGCTCAGCCAGTGGCATTTTCTGTCACAAACAGGCTGGGTCAGTGGTCCCCAGTGGTGGCTCCCTGTAGACTCAAGCCGGACCCAGTTTCCTCCTTGGTCCCTGCGGGCTCCCCAGCATCCTTCCAGGGCAGGATAAGGGCAGGCCCCGGCAGCCCTCAGCCACTTCCAGCCCCGACACCCCTGATGGAGCAACACCAGCTACACCTGGTGTGTGTCCTTTCCTAAGCCCCCAACACTCCCTGGCAATGTCTCCATCTTATTCTTTTCAATATTCTTTTCTCCCCCAAATCCAATGTGCATTATCATTTTGGTCAGTGTGAGAAATCACGAAAAGTATTTGACTCATCTTCTAATTCCCTTTAGTTATGTATAAATATAAATATTTATATATTTCTCTGAAGTATTTTCTCTCTCTCTAGATACATCTGGAGAGAGCTGTATATATGGAAATAGACAAATACAGATTTTTACAAATGGCATCACATGGTACCCCAGTGTTTTGAAACAAGTTTTTATTATATCACAGTTTATTCCTCAGTGTCATCAGTGAGTGTTACTGAACTCCTGCCACGTCCCAGGAGCTGTTCTAAATGCTGGGGGCACAGGGATGATGGAGACAATCTCCTCGCCTCTTGGAGCTTCCGTTCCAGGGGGGGAGACAGGGAATGGACAGCCAGTGCATTTTAATGTATCTACATGTAGTTCCCTAAAAATTAACTGCATCACTTTGAAAGGTGGTGCTCAGCAGCTGCACCACCCCAGGCACGAGGGCCACACCTCCTAAATAGCACAAAGATCAGCATCGTGTGACATGTTGCACAGTGGACCCAGGTGATGTGGGGTCCTCGCAGAAGGAACGAGGTGCCAGCCACCACGACAACTGTGCCAACGAGAAACGCTCAGAGACTTTGTGGGTTTTACATCACTAATGCTACAACTTACTAAGACAGGTTCTACAGTCATACCTGTTTTGTAGCTGAAGAAGTTGGGGGCGCAGAGCAGGTCGGCAAGGTTTCTGAGTGTTGAGGGAGAGGCATGAGGGACTCTAGGGGGCACTGGCCACTAACAGGCACCCTGCTTGCTGCCTCCAGAGGTCACCGTCCCAGAGCGCCAATCTACACATGCTTTTGCTGCTACTGCTGCTTATTTCTAGTCTTTTCCTGCAGCTTCCAGGGAAAGCGATATAAAAGGGATGTATCTCCTGCAGCAAGCCCTCCCCTTTCTAAGAAACCCTTCTGGATGGGCAGCCGCGCTTGCCCAGCTGCGCCCCCTGGTGGTGGCTTCCTCGCAGCAACCTCACAACTTCTCTTTCCGTCTGGAAGTCACCACTGACTCAAATCTTGGGCCAAGAGGAGGCAGTGGTGTGATGCTTCATCACTCTTAGGGAACTTTAACTCTCATCTAATTATTCACGAAAAGAGAGGCTAAAGTGTAAATTCGTTGTTGGCCATCAGCTGGTGGGCAGGGAGCTCGACCCAGGCCCTGTTTGCACCAGGAATCGCAGCCCCACCAGTTCAGGATTCGGAACGCTCACTTGCTGCCCGAGGTTAAGCTCCCCGGAAGCTGGCTCTCACTGCACCATGACTTGGTGACCCGTGACCCCGAGCTCGGTCTGTTCTACACCTCCCTGGCATCCCTGTCGAGAGTCCTGGGTGCCTCCCAAGGCTAGATGAAGCTTGCCTTGTGTGGAAACTCACCCTCCAAATAGATCCCCCACCGTGACCTGAGATATTTCGCTTCAAAAGACAAAAAGCAAAACTCCCTCAAACTGCTGACACCCTAAGGCCGCTGTGTGCCCCGGTGTCATCGGTGGTCCTGGCCCCTGTGATGCCAGGACATGAAGGGCCTCCTTGGTGGAGGGCAGGAGTGGAGTAAGGGTGGCCTGGCCATCGCACAAAGATGAATTCCATTCTGGGGCGGCTGAGGCCAGGGCTGATGGGCCTCACAGAAGCTGGGACTGAGGGTGTCTGGGACCAGCCCCGGCGGGGCGTAAGGAAGGCACTCCTATGTCTTGGCCTTTCTTCCCCTGCCCTGTGAGACCCATCGCCCTTCCCAGAATTCCCTGGGAATTCCACACACATGCTCTGGGGGAAGGGGCGAGGGAGGGGGGCAACCTGGAGACAGGAGCAGGGGGAAAGCCCTCTGCAGGGGGATGGGAGGAGCAGGAGAAGAGGGAGACCCCTGTGTTAGATCGGGGCGGTCTTCAGGTACTGACTTCTCCAGTGTTTAAAAGGCAAGAAGACAGGTTATATGGGCTGGGCTGTAGGAACCCTAATGAGGACTGGCTAGACCAGGGTGACAGACCTCCCCTCTTACTGCATTGACTTGCGACAGGTTTTCAGGAGAGTGTGATGTACGCGAAGCAGGACGTTAGTCACCTGGCGACTCCTTTTGGGTCATGCAGGACTCAGCCGGGCCCAGGACCCAGCCAGGGTGTGCCAGTCTGAGGGCAAAGTT